TTTTTTTTTTTTTTTTTTTTTGGGTACCAGGGATCAAACTCAGGTCCTTGTGCTTGTAAGGCAGGCATCAAAACCACTGAGCTAAATCCCCGGCCCTGTTAGAATGTCTTTTCCTGACTTTGTCCTATCATGTCTAGAAACCAAAAGACTTTGTTTTAAAGTGTCTCTGAATCTCTGTATAATCAGCATAGGAATCACATTTCTGCCTCAGACCCAAATTCTCCAATATGAAGTGTGAATTCACTGGAAATTGAGGCTATGCTTCTGTTCCCCTCCTGACCCAGGCACTGCCTGACTCAGCCTCCTTGTATGTTGGTCTCTGTCAACACATCTGAAGGACCAGGGGATGGGGGCAGTGTCACGGGCGATTTAAATCCTGGGTCCACCGAAACAGCAGTAGTGTTCTGAGTGCTAAGCCAATTCTCTGGACCTATAGTCACGTTTCCTTTCCCTAATAAAACAAATGTTTTATTTCTATGAGGAAAAGCTAGCTTTCCAACGTTACCTAGTTTAAATCTGGACTGAGATCAGAAAACCTGGGTTCTGTTTCTGACATTCTCTTCAGATAAGGACAATTAACTGTCCTTAGGTCCCTTATCCATGGAAGAAATACTGCTGTGGTTCATAGCAGTTTGGGAAGATTGACTCTTCAGAAAATGGAATTGCTGTTTGTTAGTGTGACTGTGGAAACTTGTGTCTTCAGGCACTTCTGGAACCTAACTGTGTGTTATACAGTGATTCTTACAGTATCACCCCTCGCCCCCTCCACGGGCATGCAGGGTAGCAGGAGCTGTCCTGGCTACACGGGTGCTTGCAGCATCGACTTAACCACACTGAGCAATTCGTGGAACTCTGTGTTCTGAAAGTGGCCGCGGTCAGTGAATTTGTACAGCTTGGCCCCCAGCCTGTCTGCCACTTCTTGTTGTTCCTTCCAGGGAAGGAAAGGGTCATCTGTGGAGCCGAACTGCACAATGTGAGTGCAGTTGGCCTTGATCTTCTCCCACTGCCAGGGGCGGTTGAAGTATCCTGGGGGGGGGGGAAAAAGAACCTCTCAATGCCCCTGGGGAGCCACCGCCACTCCAGACACCCCAGAACACCCAGTGGGGACCCTCACAGACACAGGACCAGAGCCCTGTTGTGAGTGAGAAGCACTTTTTATTTGTGGACACTGATACCTAATAGCTCTTGTGAAGAGGGAGTAAATGGCCCAAATAAAACAAGGCCTTTAGGGTTTGATTCTAAACTGGGCTGGAAAGAGGCCCACTATTCATACCCAACTTATACCCAGAGCAAGGTGGAAAGTATTTCTCCTAGGCTATTAGATTTATTTTTTTTTCTGCTATCTGAAAGATGGGCCTGTTTTGTAACCTGAACAGCCCAGGGGAAGGGCTTTCCTGGGATGTCTGGCTTCAGACTTACCACTTGCACGCTCATTTTCATCCCCCAAGTCTGATGTGTATGCAGACACTAACACAATAGCATAGACACGATGTGTCTCTGCATACCTGGAGAGGGAAAAGTGGTGTTAGCCAAGACTCGTCCAGTCTGATCACCCCCGAGTCAACAAACCGTGCAATTCACTGGATAGACCTTACCGAGAACCTGTGCTAGGAAATGCGAGGCAAGGAGACTGCAGAGCTGCAGCCCCAACCACAGCTGTGTGGTGGAGTCCTGTGGTGGGTGGGGGTAGGGCGTTAGGGATGAACCCGCAGCCTTTGCACTGATTTGCATCCCCTACCCCTTTTTTAGTTCTTATAAATTAAAAAAAAACAAGGTTTCACTAAACGGCTAAAGTGTTCAGACTGGGCTTGACCTTGTGAACTTCCTGCGTTAGCCTCCCACACTGCTGGAATTACAGGTGTGGGCCAGCTAAACTACTCATTTTTCAAGGTAGCCCAGACCTCTTCTGCATTCCTTTCCCAAAGAAGAAAAAACTAATGTACTAATGTAGAAAAAACTAACCATTCTTTCTGACGTGTGCATCCTCCCACCTTCAATGGCATTACTTAGTGCCCATGCACATTCCCAGGCTAAGCTGCACAGCATCACACTCAGAGGGGCTGGGGCCCAGGAATCCGCACCTTACGGCATGCTGTCTTCCCTGACCTAGGTGACCAAGGCAAGTGGTCTGGGAACCATATATTTTAAAATCTATCTTATTTTATCCCATCCCCCCAGCCCCCTCTCCTCCCTATGTACAGAAGCTTTGTTTCTGTTTTTTCCTTCTATTTTTCACTTTTTTTCTTGTTCCTTCCTTTCTCCCTCCCCCCTCCCTTGTTCCTCTTCTTGTTTGAACATTTTCTGGGCACCATATTTAAAGAAACATTACAAAGCCAGAAACGAACTTGTATCATTCATTTGTGTTGTGCTGCACCTGTCTCCCCCAATCCATCCGCTCCTTACAGGCAGGTGTGATTGCTCTTAGTTCCTGGTTCCCAGTATGCTGGCCAGCAAGTGGTACCTAGCTAACTCTCTGAAGACACTACCTCACTCAGCAAGGACCAGACTAAGGAGATGGGGAACTGGGATATTTTCAAGAGGCCTCTGTGCCAGGAAACACTTTGGGTTGGCATTTGTTCTTGGGCCCAAACTTTTATTTCCAACTCTTTAAACTTGAAAAATATCAAACTTACAACAAAGTTGAAAGAACATAAAGTACCTAGATTCATTATATTGGCCACAGCTCACTCTTGCTTTAGTAATTACCTCCCAAGAACAAGAAGACTGTTCCCTTAAAAAAACACAATACTATTGTGTTTGTTTGTTTGGGTACCGGGAATCAAACTCAGGGCCTCATGCTTACCAGGCAGGTTCTGTACTGCTGAGCTACATCCCTGGCCCAACACAATACTATTATTATAGCCAATAAATTTAACATTGACATGGTAATATTATCTGTGTTCCCCCTTCCCCAAATTTACCAAAAATGTCCTTTAAAACTGGTTTTGTAATCCTAGGTCCAATCAAGGTTTGGTTTTCATGAGTTTCTAGTCACTTTCCCATTTTTTGCAAAATGATACTGGCAATTGCTTAATACAAAAGCTGAGGCCAGTTGTTCTGTACACCACCCCCCTTAATCTGGACTTATTTTTTTCATAATTAGACTGAGATGAAACATTCTTGGCAAGAATGCTCCCTAGGTGGCAGGGTGTCCTTCACACTCCATGCCTTCATGGACACGAGGTTATTGATGAGATTAGGTCTGGTCACTTCAGGTCATCTCTAAGGCCCTCTCCATTGTAAAGGCACAGTTTTCCCTTTGTGATCCATAAGAAATGGGGGGGTCCCTTACAACCCCCTACAACCTTACACTGTAGGTTCCCCTATGACTTTACACTGATAGTTTTGCACCTGTTTTTCTCTTTGCCTCCTTAATGTTTAGAAGTCAGATATGAGAAGGTTGTGCCAACCATGCAGTAAATTCAGGGGTCTTAGAAAGAAGGCAAATCCTCACCAGTGGGTGGTTTGAGAACAAAATCAGTTACCCTTGAGTTGGGACAAATTGCAGCAATAAAAGGGATCTCTTTTTTTACGAGACAAGCCCTGGCGGCTTATTAACATCTAGCACACCAGGATTGTACCATAATTGAGCAACACTGTACTCCAAGGTGTTGCTATTACCATAGCTTTGATCATGCAGCTGAAAGGTTACAGAATTTGGCAAGATTCCCTGGTATGCAGGTCATCTGATACCCTGAGCAACCACTTGGAATTAGGAGCCATACAAATAAAACTGTTATCCTTTGTCATGGAGTGTAGAGAATAAAGGAGAACCCAACCCCAACAGGCCAGATCTGACCGCAAATCCCCTGCCCCTGAGCTACAGAGTGAGGCACAATGCTCTAATGGAAAGCAGCTCTGAATTCTACAAACGGTAGGGTTTATAGTAGGTAGGGGTAACAGCCAACAAATACTTATGGGGCATCTGCCATATGCCAGACTCTCTTCTAGGCCCTAGGGTTTCATTCTCAGAGGAAACGAAGTCACTCTACTGGTGGAGACAGGAAATAAAAAGGGTATCGATGGAAAGTATTAGAGATAATTAAGGGGCAGGAGCCAACAGGGTAGAGGGAGCAGGAAGAGATAGGGAGCCGATAGAGACAGCAGAGCCCAGGGATGGAAAGCTGCTGGAGTTTTAAAAGAATCACTGCACTCAAGTTCAAGCAATCAATACTTTCTTCCACCCACTAACCAAAGCAGGAAGGAATTAAGCCAGATCGTGTTACCACCACTGAAGACAGCACTGGAAACTTAAGGTGAACTGGGCTCATGAAGCAGGCAGTCCCAGCAGCACACACCTCATGGCTGCGATGGCCCCAGAGCTGTGGCCTATGACGATGGTCTTCTCGTCACACTGTAGCTCCGTCTCCATGAAGGGCAGCCAGATGCTCTCCCGGGCTGTAACTGAGGTTCAGGGTAAGAAAATGTCATCTGACAGGGACAATCTCAGCCTAATGTCTCCCCACCTTTCTAACAGACAAGTGACTGACTGGCTGCTCGCAGCTTTTAAACGGTACAGCTGTGCAAATGTGATGGGGCTGTTTTAATGGAACCTCAGTTTTTTTTTTTTTTTTTTCACCAGGGATCGAATTTGGGTCCTTGTGCTTTCAAGGGAGGTAGCAGAACCACTGAGCTAAATCCCCGTTGAAAGAAAGACCTAAGTCTATAGCTTGAGTAAATAGTTTTGCTCTTTCTTTATTTTTCCATGTTCTTGCTTTAAAAATACTGAGGGAATAAAAAAAATATAATTCAGAAGTTTTTTAAAGTTTTTTTTTTTTTTGGTACCGGGGATTGAACTCGGGTACTTGCGCTTGCAAGGCAGGCCACCAAGCCGCTTAGCTAAATCCCCTAATTCAGAAGTTTTAATGTAAACTTTCAAACTTAAAAGCTCTTGACAACATTCTAAAATACATGTATTATATGTTCTTTCCAGAGATAAGTCATAAGCATTCCCAGAACAAAAGGAACATCATTACATTTTTAAAAATTTGGGCCTCAAACTGTAAGGTTGTATCATATCTCTGCCTGAACTGGGACACCTACAGATTTTGCCCAAAGAGTGTAAGTCTAGAAGAGAAAATTAAGTTGCTTACAAAGTTTAAAATTAAATTTTACCACGCCCAGGTGTTTTTCCTGATCCTTACTAGCATTTTCCACGTCTTCTGGTTTACACCCTCCTCCCAAAGCTACTCACCTCATTCGTTCTTAGGTATCTATTTATCTTTGGCTTCTCTACTATGATATCCCTATGCTCTACTCTGCTCCCTCAAATGGTGAGATCAAAACCCAACAATGTGAGGCTATTTAAAAACAAGTTTAAGGCCGATCATAGTGGTACATGTCTGTAATCCCAATACTTGGAAGGTTGAAGGATTGCTGCAAGTTCATGGTTAGCCTGAGCTACCTAGTGAGTTTGAGATCAGCCTGAACTACAAAGCAAGATCCTGTCTCAAAAAATATAACAAATATGGGCTGGGGATTTAGCTCAGTGGTGTCGCCACCTCCCTCACAATCACAAAGTTCTGAGTTCAATCCCTGGTACCCATCCCTTCAAAAAACCCAAATAAAATAAAATAAAAACAAGTTTAAAACTTACTTGGGTCAGGCATGTTTTTGGCCAAACACTGGAAACCAGGTACCTATAGTACAAGGGGAAAAAAGCTATAATAAAAACTTAATTGCAACTAATACTTTACTAATATGAAGACACCTGGTATGACCTTTATCAAATGAGTAAGTGCATGAACTATGAAATGAAATATGTAAGTGCTCCAGGATTCCACATAAATATACCATCCCTCCTCCTAAACCCTATCTGTAAGTATTCCCTTATCTAGCCAGCTTGGTAACTCTCTACAGAGACCCCTACCTGCATTTGTGTATTTGTGTTTATGTCTAATGCACACATCTATAGAGAGGATATAAAGGAAAGTTCTCAACAGACTGACCCAACTTGGAACCAAGCACACTGCACCCCAGGGAGTCAGCGAGCCTTGGCACAGAAGTGTGGTACAGAAATCTAGGCACCCCCTCTCCCTGGACAGCCCAAAACCAACTTTCTGGTTCGAAGCTCTGCCCGTGGTATTGAGCCACACCTTGAAATTCTCTTTCAGAGGCGAGGCTTGCTATTATATTGACTTTATTTACTAGATTGGATATATTACTCTATTGAAATTCTCTTCTTGGGGTTAACCCAGGGAGAAATCTAACCCTAGATTAGGGAAAAGGGTTTTAAAACAAAACCCAGGTGCACAAGACCACCTGTAATAGGGTACGATGTTGGAAAAGCTCATAGCCAATTTAAACAATACATTGTTTACAGAGTACATACATGAGTTGTAAAAAATAATTTTTAAGAGAAGCAAATGAAAAATATCAGAATGTGTTCGTGATTCATTGCATTATCCTTGCTAGAATGTTCCATGTTTTTTGTTCATACTCACGTGTCACATACATGCTTTGTATATACCAAGTATTACATATAGAATGCTGTTAGGTTTTTTTTTGGTTTTTTTTGGGGGGGTACCGGGGATTGAACTACGGTCCTTGCGCTTGAGAGGAAGGCCGCAGAACCACTGAGCTAAATCCCCGGCCCTAGGATGCTTTTTAAAACCTGGAGCAGGAAGCACTGAAGGTATAAAAATGGAAAGCCCTAAATCTGAAGCGGCAGCAGAAGGTCTCTGTAATTCAAAGTGGTTCCTTTTACTCTAAAAACTGAGCCCTCAGAAAAGTCTTCCAGCAGTCGGATCTTAAAAGAGGCCTTACCTGCTCCAGCGCCCTCTTTACCCAGCCGTACCAGCCATGGGTGGCCACATCCCCACCTCCGTTCCCGGGAACAACCACTGCCTTGCTGGGAGCGGCCATGAATGCGCCGGCCGGGGACCTGGGAGCAGAGCCACCTCCGGCCGGTCCCGCCCAGCGGGGCTCAGGGAGCAGAGAGCGCAGAGCCGCGCCCTTCTCCGGTTTCAGGACTCCCAGAGCCGCTGCGGAAAGTAGCAGGAACGGGGGCCTTGTGCGACTGACGGATCAATCACAATGTGTCTTTTATAGTAACACGTTTTAAATTGAATCATTAACCGTACAGTTGTTATTGTTTTGGGTTTTTGTTGTTGCTGTTGTTGTTGTTGATACCGGGGAATCGAACTCAAGACCTTGCGCTTGCGAGGCCGGAACGGTAACTCTGAACTAAATCTCCGGCCCCTTGCTTCTTAGTTTTATATACTGCAGAATGTCTCTATCTCCGAGTAAGATTAACAAGGTGATTTTCCTTATTTTTGTTAATACACGTTTGCAGCACAGATGGTTGCACTCTTCGTGGTCAACAGCTGGTATTTGCCCTTGTAAGAAAGTGTGAAACGGCTTCGGAGGCTGCAGAAAGTTGCCAATACGTTCATTCTGTTACTCATCTCCTTGTTTACGGATGACAGGGACGGTCACGTAGACGGGGACTGCGCTAGTGCCGGTCTCCGTGAGAGCGCGAAGGCATTACAGCAGGTGAGAAGAGGAAACCTTGTCATGCTAAGTTTAACTAGATTTGCTGTACTCTTTCACTAGACTTGGAGACCGCGCTCACTAGCAAGTGCGCATGCGCCCCCCTTCCAGTCCCCGACTCCTTCCCATGGCCCCTTCCGCACGCTGACGCTTTCCTCCCGGCAGCCTCGCTTTCCTCCGGCGGCGCAGCTCCTACGTCCGGGCTTACACGTCATCCTTCTCATATTCTGGTATCTAAGGCAATGAGAGAGGCTTCCCACTGATGCAAACTGACGTCATAATGTATAAGGACGATTCCTCCAGTAGCTGTATCTAGGGAGCGGCCAGGCAGGCGTTGAGACTTTCTGAAACCGAAACCTTTAGGGGTAAATTTAAGGAAGCGTGCGTTGTGAAGAAGTGTGGTTTTGAAGTGCCAGGCGCTGATGCGTTGCCCTGCTCCAGCATGGCGGCGAGGCTTCTCTAAATGTGTCACTTCCGCGCTTCCGCCCAGACGTGATGTCTGATTGGCTAGTATACGTCGCTGTAGCGTGATGCAATGGGGCATTGACCAATTGGCTGAAAGCTGAGCTGGACTTGGGAGCCGGAGCCGGACTTTTGCATCGGTGGGCGCGGACCGCTTGGGACAGGTGTAAGGCATCGGCCAGGTGAGCGGCGAGCAAGGGCGACACAGGGCTCGAACCAGAAGCGGGGGAGCGTTGGGGGTACTTTTGGGATGAGCCCTTTTCCTGGCAGGCAGGGGAGCCAGAGGGAATTGATGATCCAGGAATCTGCGAAATTGAAGCGTCCCACGGCAGAGGATCGGGTCCTGACTTCCTAACCTCCAGCCTGAAGGATCCACCCCCGTTTTATAATTGAAACGCTCGAGAGGTTTGCTTTGTGACTGATGGAAGTAGAGCCCGGTCTTTAGACTCCCGACGAGGATTAAACGTTTCTTAATCTTTCGAAGTGGGGTCTCCGTGTCCTAAGAAGTTACGTCTTGGTGAGATAAGAATGGTTCACATTTCTCGATCCAAGCTCATCAGTGTCTGTCCAGGCATTTCGTTCACTCACCAGTTCATTCATTCAGCTGTCGGACTCTCAGGTACCCTTTGAAAATTTGGTAAAAGCCATGGACTTATCTCTCTAGAAAAATGTATACATTCTCTCCTGAACACAGTTTGGCATGCAGCTTCAGAAGATTGGTAGACCCTCACAAGTTTTTATTGTGTGCCCATGGTTAAAAATCAGTGGTCTAGATGAGTGAGAGATGGTGGCAGTGGGAATGGAACAGGTTTTTATAAGTAGATAATTAAGAACCAGTGCCTTTTAATAAGGAACTGTGTTGAGCGGGGAGCAGTCAGGTAATACTTGCTGATAATTGTGGCATTAGAACTTGCTCCTGATTCCACCTGATTTATCCCGGAACTCTCCAGGAAGCTGCAGAAGCCTCTTTGTATGCAGTGCTTCGGTTCCTGCTTTTGGTGGGAATAACAGATATGTTTTAGAGTTCCAGTTGGACCACACATTTGGATTTTTCATTGCCAGGGTCCTATGTAATAGAATAAATTATTTGCTTTTCTTATCATGTAATGTTACTGCCTCAATCCAGTTGTCAGAATAACGTGGAGACAATTGTTACCCAGCACAAGATGAAGTGGGCACGATGGCCACATTAATATCACAGATTGTCATTAGTACATGTTTGTACTACCTGGTGAACTCTTTCATTGTGGGAAGTTGATACGTGCATGGACACATCTTATTTCTTTTTACATCCTATTCTCTTCTCCCCCTTCATCTCTTAGTCTTCTTCCCATTTGCAAAAGATCTGTCTCCCTATTTCCTATTATCTTGTATTATGCTCTTTGATTTATTTATATTTTGGGTTTCTCATGTTTGCAAAGCCATATGGTTTTTAAGCTTGTGATATATTTCACTTAACATTATGGTCTCAAGGTGCATCCATTTTCCTTCAGATAACTCAAATTTAACCTTTTTATGGCAGAGTAGTACTCCATCGCATATAAATACCACTTTTTCTTCATTCGTGGTTGATGGACATATAGGCCACTTCACCAATTATCATGTCTTTTTAAATTTGCCTTTTTTTTTTCCTGCTTTTCTTGAGGGGCTTGTTGCCATGAATCCCAATAGCTTCGATATGTGTAACCTTAGGTTTTAGGACATGTATAAGAAGTATAAGAACACAGTGAAATTGGAAATCATTTGAAAGCTTAGTCTGCAGACTATTTTTATTAACCAGAGCCTTTCAAGACATGAGCACAAGCAACCATAGTGATTAAAGAGGTCTAGGTGAGGCTCGGCATAATAAACTTTCTGTCAGTTTGCTGATAAGAGTAGAAATACTTTAGATCAGAACTGGTTACCGTAACAAACTGGACATTCAGATGAGTATCTAGTTCTTTTCTCCACAGGTAATGGAGAGAGGAAAGGATGCAAAAAAACTTGATTACTTGGAACATAATGTTTATAGTATAATATAGTGTTTACCTTAGTTGAATAAGGAAGGCAGGATATCAGAGAGGAAGATAGATGCTGAAACAGGGTTTAAGACGCCTTTTGGGCGGAGGGTTGAAGTTGCCTTGTCTGAGATGATGTGTGATCTGTGAAGAGGTTTACAGTCGTATTAAACTACTAGCCATAAGAGATGGTCACATCATTGTAAACTTTCTTCTTCTTTATTTTGTTTATTTATTTATTTATTTGTTTTTTTTTTGAGTCAGGGTCTCTATGTAGTTGAGACTGACCTGGATCTCACTATGTAGCTCAGGCTGGTCTCGAACTCACAGTGATCCTCCTGCCTCAGCCTCCTGAGTGCTGGGATTATAGGCGTGCACCACCATGCTTGGCCTTTATTTTTTTCTTAAGTGCTAGAGAGAAGGGTTGAAAAAGGAGCAGTACTAAAAGAAGTATGAACTAATGACGTTTGGTGTCAGCAGAAAGGTAGATACTGGTATGGACAGGTCTTTCCCACCTTGGTATTTAAGAAATACTATGTTGCAAGAGCATCTTCTTTTTCAAGGTTTAGATGAGATCTTTGGGTAAAAGTAAAGCTTTATCTTCAGTTCCGTTTTAGACAATGGCGACATATCTGGAGTTCATTCAGCAGAATGAAGAACGCGATGGTGTGCGCTTCAGTTGGAATTTGTGGCCATCCAGCCGTCTGGAGGCCACGCGAATGGTGGTTCCGCTGGCCTGCCTCCTTACTCCTTTGAAGGAACGTCCAGACCTGCCTCCTGTACAATATGAACCTGTGGTTTGCAGCAGACCCACCTGCAAAGCTGTCCTCAATCCACTTTGGTATGAATTCTTATTTATTTATTTTTGGCACCAGGGATCGAACTCGGGTCCTTGTGCTTGCAAGGCAGGCAGTGGAACCACTGAGGTAAATCCCTGACCCATGGTATGAATTCTTTTAGAAACGTTAAAATGGTGAATATAGCAAGTTACTATCTTTAATCAAGTCATTCAGTTTGGGCAAGATGTCAAATCTGAGATAGGTAGTAGTTTACGATGAAATTCTTAGGGGATGTGTGCTCGTAGAAATCTCCCTGGCCTGACATTTCAGGTAAAATTGGAATCTTACAGGAATGAGGGGCAGAGGTAGAAGGGGAAGATTTAAAAGTCACTGTTTTGGTGATTATCATTTCACTTTTGGCTTAGCTATAGACTTTATGAGGTGTCTTCTAAAGTATTTTCCAAAACATTAAAAAACTTTAGGCCATGTTTTCACACTTACCTGGTGTGGTGATGCTGTTTGGACAGAAGTATTAGGCAGAAAAAATTTTAACTCTTAGTCATTTTACTGTGAGTGTAATTTTTGGTATCTGAGATAGTGACCTATAATATTTCACATATATGTGGGTGTTATTTGGAAATCTTTATTTTTAAAATTAATTTATTTTTTGAGACAAGAGTCTCACTGGGTTGCCCATCCTCATCTTGAACTTGTAGGCCCAAGTAATCCTCCTGTCTCAGCCTCTTGAGTAGCTGGGACTATAGGAGTTTACCACCACCAGCTGAAATAATTTTTGAAATAGGTGGAGAGTATCAAAATAAGGGAACATTTTTCCATTATTTCCTTTCTTTTATTTAATGTGCCAGTATTTAAAATGTTGCTCTGCTTTAAAAATGTTAGCCACTGCTTAATAATTTTCTGAAAGTAGAAAGGAGTATTAGAACTTTTTATTATTGAAATTTATAGTTTCTTTCTTTCTTTTTTTTTTTTTTTTTGGTACTAGGGACCAAACTCGGGACCTTGCTTTTGCAAGGCAGGCAGTGGAACCATTGAGCTAAGTCCTGGCCCCCTTTTGTGTTTTTGAGACAGGGTGTTGTTATATAGTTCCAGCTGGTCTCGAACTCATGGCCATCTTTCTGTCTCAACCTCCCAAGTGCTGGGATTATGGGCATGTGCCGCTATACCTGACTTGAAATTTATAGTATCACATAGCTGAACAACAAAGATGTTAGAAAAAAATCATGAAGACAAGGGGCTGGGGATTTAGCTCAGTGGTGCCACCGCCTGCCTCGCAAACGCAAGGACCCTAGTTTGATCCCCGGTACCCCCACCAAAAAACCCCAAAATTATCTAGCGCGTTAGAAAAGAAAAAATGATTTACTTATTCTTCATTGCAGCCTTTGATAGAAACTATTGGCATACTTAGTATAATCAGCTAGAATTCTGTTTGTAGTGAAATTTTGCAAGCTTTTGTCTTTATGCACATGTATACATGCATATGTCTGTGATTTATTGAGCTTCAAATTTACATTTGAATGCTTTAAAAATAAAAATGGTATCTTCTGATGGTATTTTTCTTTCTCACAGTCAGGTTGACTATCAAGCAAAACTTTGGGCTTGTAATTTCTGTTTCCAAAGAAACCAGGTATGTGATTTATTTTTTAAAAATAGATTATATGATTTATTTTAGCTGTACTGTGAAAAAGTGCTGTGAATATGAATTTCTGCCCTCTGTGGTGGGCAGCAGTTTCTGCCGACTCAGAGTGATGGAGTACCATATTGCACACTGAATACTTGGGCCTTTTGTTTTGCATGGTTTCATTATTTGTGCCCTGGTCATTTGTTGTGGATGGCCATTGAATTCTCTTCTTGAACATTTTCTGTACGAAGTGGAGAAAATAGATCAGTTATTCATATTTGACTTGACTGCAGTATATTCTTTTCTATTTTTGTTGTGGTACTGGGGATCAAACTCAGGACCTTGTGCTTATAAGGCAGGCGCGGTGCCACTGAGCTAAATCCCTGGTGACTGCAGTATTTTCTAACTGGATGATGGATGTCAGTTTTCATTTTCTGATCTTTGTAAGTAGGATCCAAGTATAAGTATCAATGTCTGCGGTGTCTGCACGCTAGGAGGCTGAGGCAGGGAGATCACAAGTTTTAGCTCAGCCTGGGTGACTCAGACTTAGTGAGACCCTTTCTCAAAATTTTAAAGCACCTCTCCAGGTGTGGTGGTACACACCCATAATCCAAGCTACTTGGGAGTTTTCCTGAGTTGGAAGCTATCCTGGGCAATTTAGCAACACCCTATCTCAAGAACTAAAAGGGGTTGAGGATGTAGTTCAGCGCTAGAGCACTGGCCTAACATGCAGGAGGTCCTGGGTTCAATCTTCAGTTCCACAAAAAAAATTAAAAATAAAAAACTGCCAGGCACGTGGTGGCACATACTTAGAATCCTAGCATTTGGGAGGTTGAGGCAGGAGAAATACCGCAAGTTCAAGGCCAGCCTGAAATGCATAGTGAAACCCTGCCTCAAAAACAAAACACCCCCTCCTCAAGAAAAGATTAGAAAAAAGTTTGCACTTTACCACATTCAGAATCGATGTCTGTGTTTAATATCATTTATAAAATTCTAAGGCAGGCTTGCGTTGCTGGTTGAGAATCGGGACTACTGTATTCCGACTGCCTGGGTTTGATTTTCAGATTTATTCTTTACCTCTCATGTAAGTTTGGGCAAGTCACTATCTTGTACATTAGTTTCCTCATCTTGAAAATGAAGGTGTTGTGTGTCCTTACTGGTGTTGCTATGAGAATTAAACTAAGTTCAGAGTGTAAATGCCTCGGTGGAGTGGTACACACATTCTTGTAAATGCTTGGTGCTGTGGTGTTCTTTCACCTTTACCTGCCCGTTTACAGGAGTGGCCGGAGGTCTGTGTGCCATGGGCAGACCTGAGCTTTTGTGGCCCTCCTGGCTGAGTCCTGAGGAAGTGAACCCCTCAGTGAGTGGAGAGCTAGCAGATGAGAGGTGACCCTAGGAGGAATGAGGGCACTTCTGCCCTCTCTCCTACCCTTTCTACAGGGCACACTGAGTGGATGAGCAGCCCTCACCAAGGGGCTGGGAGTGGCTATGGAACCAGCTTTTCCCATCTGAATCTCATGACTTCTTACTGCACAGACGAAGTCCTACCCTCGAGAAGCCATTGGGCAGTCCTGGCTGGCCCAAGGTAGCACTGTTTTGCTGGCCCTGCTGAGACCCCCTCCTGGGGTCCTGGCCCTGCCTCCTGGCCCTGTCCCCCTACAGCTGCCTGTCATCTCCTGGGGAGGACTTGCATTTGGTCACTCTGAGCTCATTGACCTGCAGTTGGGCAGAAACACCTAAACTTTTCTCTTTAATATAAAGCTAAGTAGTAATACAGTTAAAATCAGCTCACAACTGAATTTGAAATGTTTCTGCAGTTTTTTCTCTAAAAAAGAAAATGTCTGTGCCATTATCTTAAGTGCAAAAAGTATTCCCAAAATTGTGTATAGAGAGTGATCTCAACTTAAGTAGAAAAAGTTCAGAGGGAAATATGCCAAAATGTTCACAGTTGCTTCCTCTAAGGGTTTTCGTTTCCTGAACTTGCCAGTTTTTCTGCATTGAACATACAAATTTATTGGTAATGACCAAATAATAAACCTAACTAGAGGCTTTCATCTTCTATATAGACTGTTGGTGAGGCAAGTAAATATCAGCAAGACAGTGCTTAAATGGATTCTAATAGCGTGTGTTCAGAATTAACAAGTGATCATAACCATTTTTATCTGTGGAAACAGTAAGTGTAGCATGAAGACCTTTCAGCCCACAGAACACTGTTTTGCGTTCTCTTCACAGTTCCCCCCAGCATACGCAGGCATATCTGAGGTGAACCAGCCTGCTGAGCTCATGCCCCAGTTCTCTACAATTGAGTACGTGGTACAGGTAACTTCTCCGTCTTGTGTTTGCCGAACAGTGTTAAAAATTGAGTTCCTTGTGAAATCCTCTGAAGAGTGTGGCCCTTACCTGTCCAGGTTACTGAAAGCTGTGAGGGCAGCAGATCTTACGTATGAGGTTGTGGGATATAAACTTCTGGTAGTGTTTTCAGGTTTGTTTTTTTGTACCAGGGATCAAACTCGGGACCCTGAACTAAATACCTGGCCCTATTTTCAAGTTTTGACAGAAGGCTGCAGAAAGGCAGAACTGACTAAACTGTAAATGTGTCCTCTGTAGCCATATTGTGTTTGTCTTTTTTTTTTTCGGTACTAGGGATCGAACTCGGGTCCTTGCGCTTGCAAGGCAGGTGGCGGAACCACTGAGCTAAATCCCCAGCCCACATTGTGTTTGTCTTATTTGATCAAACTCCATCTTCTTGTTTAGTTCATTTTTAAAAACTTAGCCTCATCCTGGACCTCTCTCTTTCATACTGTAAATCTAATCTAGTAGAGTATCCCATCATCTTACTATTTAAAATGTACTTGGCATTTACCCACCTTTCTCTCTCCACTCCTGCCTATCCTGGGCCAGCCAGGACCCTTGCTATTACTTTAGCAGTCTGCTAACTGCTCTCCTTGGTTTGAATATTACTGTCTGTATTCTGTTATTTTACTTTCTTTTTTGCATTGCTGGGGATTGAATGCAGGGCCTCATGCATGCTAGGTAAGCACTCTACAACTGAGCCACATGCTCAGTCCTGCTACTTGCATTTTATTCTTACACTTAACTCCTTAAAAATCTATGGGCCTGGCATGGTGGTGCATGTCTGTAACCCCAGCACTCGGGAGTTGGGAGGCCAGGGTGGAATACATAGCAAGTTCAAACCTAGCCTGAGCTACATAGTGAGACCCTGTCTCAAAAAATAAAAAAGCAGAAAACAAAAAACAATACAAAAACACGTCTTTAGTTTTTTTAAAATGCCATACAAGTATTACTACTGCTTGTCTACAAAATTCAGGGGAACAGACAATTTCATTTTTCTTCCTCAGCCTTGTTTTTTTTTTGCTTATCTGCATTTTCTGTATTTTCCTCCTAAAATAAAACAGATTTTTTAATATACTAAAAAATAAAAACATGAAAAGAAAAACATATATTACTTCTCTGTTCAAAAACCTCTAGTGGTAGCAGTGGCTCCCCAGAGTGAAAGCCAGTCTCTTGCCAGTACCACATGTGACCATTTCAGCTTGTTTTCACTGATGCCCTTGCTCAGCTCTGTGGGGCCGCCACTCTTCAAGTGGCCTGGATGCTAGCTTTATCCTCAGGCTGGGCCTCTTTTTCTGCATGTGACCTCTCTTTATTACATGAACCTGCACTCTCTGCATTCCTGGCAGTCACTGTCTTCAAAAACTCCCTAGTCTGGGAAATTTGCTTCTTGAGATGGTCAGAGGTCTGTGTTTTCCTGTTTGCTGATGTGTTCCAGGGCCTGGAACAGTGTGGCACATAGTATTCAAATGTGCTGCATAAATTTTTTGTTTGTTTGTTTTTTGAGACAAGGTCTCACTGTGTAGTTGAGACTGACCTGGAACTCACTGTGTATCCCAGGCTGGTCTCGAGCTCACAGCAATCCTCTGTCTCAGCCTCCCCAGTGCTGGGATTACAGGTGTGCACCACCGTGCCCGGCTTAAATTGTTGTTTTTTGTTTTTTTGTTTGTTTGTTTTTCCAGTACTGGGATGGAACTTGGGGCCTTGCTCTTGTGAGGCAGGCATGAAACCACTGAGCTAAATCCTGGCCCAGTAAATTGTTGGATACAAGTCGTTTTGATGCTTAGTGTGTTTTGGTAGAATCTGAGCCCTGTGAGATAAGCAGAGATTTGTGTAGATGTCCTTTTCCCTTGACATAAGCGTAGATGAAGATTGCTGTTTTGTATCTGATTTGCTTTAAAAACAGCCAGTTTTGTGTAGAATTTATATACTGATCATCATACTTTTTCCTTTGCCTGAAGCGAGGTCCTCAGTCCCCTCTGATCTTCCTCTATGTGGTGGACACGTGCCTGGAGGAAGATGACCTTCAGGCCCTGAAAGAGTCCCTGCAGATGTCCCTGAGCCTCCTTCCTCCAGAGGCCCTGGTGGGCCTCATCACTTTTGGGAGGATGGTGCAGGTTCATGAGCTGAGCTGTGAAGGAATCTCGAAAAGTTATGTCTTCCGCGGGACCAAGGATTTAACTGCAAAACAAATACAGGTTTGTGTCTTTTTCGTACAGAAGCAAGAACAAGGATATTTCTTAACAATGTAACCAGTCCTTAACTTTTACTTTTCCAGGAAATGAGTTTCTTTTGTTTTTTAGGATATGCTAGGCCTGTCCAAGTCAGCCATGCCCATGCAACAAGCAAGGCCTGCGCAGCCTCAGGAACACCCTTTTGTTTCCAGCAGGTGAGAGATGGGAGCTGGTGTTACACATACTGAAGTGGGCGTGGGGCAGCCCAGAGAGGCAGGAAGAGCAGTGATAGGCCTCATCAGTACTTGATGTTTTATCAGAACATTTTTGGGACTTGTACTCAAATATTTCCATCCTCATGAACATGTGGCTGATTTTTTATTTTGGTTTTTGCAGTATTGGGGATTGAACCAAGGGCATTCACACTGAGCTGCATCCCCAGCTTTCTTTTAATTTTTTAGTTTAGGACAGTCTTGCTGAGTGGCTATGTTGTCCAGGCTGGACTGCCTCAGCCCCTCAGAGTGCTAGATTATAGGCATATGCTACCATGCTGAGCTTGCCATTGTCTTTTTTTGTTTTTTTTTTTTAAGACAGTCTCGCTATGCAGTTCAGATAAGCCTTGGACTCGCTAGATAGCGCAGGCCTTGAACTCAAAGCAATCCTCCTTTCTCAGCCTCCTGAGTGCTGGGATCATAGGCATGCACCACCACAACAAAACTCCATTGTCTTTTTTGATCCTCACATAAAACTGGAACTGAAAATTTCTCATTTTGGTGAGGACACAAACTTATGAGCAGGTACTCATTTCACTTAGCCCATCGAGTACCTCGGTCTCCTCTGAGCTGATTAACATCTGGCAAACTTGATAGCTGGCCTCACCTGACGTGCTACGGCTGTCCTCTCAGTCTGGTCAGAACCAGTGTTACTGCCGGTATCATTTGTAAAGTTCAGAGGAAGCACAAATTGAACCTTTAGCATGATGCTGATTGTACACAGAAGTGGACCGCCTATGGACTGAAGTCCCTATTAGGTATGTCCTTAGGATTGCTTTGCTGCTTAAAATTTAATTAAACTGACTTGTTGATTTTCAGATTGATATTTTTTTCCCCACACTACGTGTATAAGTTGCCAAATGTTAGGTTGAATCGTATTCCTTGGCCAGGTGTGGTGACACATGCCTGTCATCCTACTGCTCAGGCTGCCAAGGCAAGAAGGCTGAGTTCAAGGCCAACCTCTGCTCCATAGCACAGTTCAGGGTGAGGCTGGGCTAATCAGCAGCATCCTTTCAGTCAGTTGATTAATAAATGAGTCAGCTTTCTCAAAATTGCCCTGAATTGTTTTGTGCCTGTAATTAGAGGTAAGTTTTTTCTAGTCTGAATAATTATCTTGTAGACCAGTTACTATGTGTCAGCAAGAGTTACAGTTGGGAATACTTTTATTAAGTCACTTCACTGTTGATGTGTCTTCCCAAAACTGTGCAGGTTTCTGCAGCCCATTCACAAGATTGACATGACCCTCACAGATCTCCTTGGTGAGCTGCAGAGGGACCCATGGCCAGTCACTCAGGGGAAGAGGCCTCTGCGGTCCACGGGGGTTGTGTTGACCATTGCCGTCGGCTTGCTGGAGGTAACCCAGGATTTATGGGCGGCTGCGCGTGCTATGCCAGCTTGCTCCTAGAAACTGCATTTATTGGCTTCGTTTGAATATCTTTCATGACCTAAGCCATACTCCTGTGTATCAGGAAGTGCTTTAGTTATCCACGGTGAAGGGGCCCAAGGGCCAGAGATTTAGTTGTGCCAACGTCTGCCTTGCAAGTGCAAGGTCCTGAGTTCGATCCCTGGTACCAAAAAAAAAAAAAAAAAAAAAAGAGAGAGAGAGAAAGAATCCACAGTGAAGGGGCCCTGTAATGCTTTGAAAATGCCAAAAGTTTTCATGAAAAAAAATAAGTGAATGTGAGCAATGGCATGTGCTTACAGGAAATTGCTAAAGTGTATAAAGCCTTCAGATTGGGAGAGAATTAATGCTGCTTTCCGCACCTTCACCTGCATGATTCTTTTGCAAAGATACCTCATGCTTGATTGCTTGGCCTGGCCTGGGGTAGAATGTCACACATATTAACAGCTGAAGAGGCCGGGGTGCAGCATCCAGTGCACATGCCAAGAATAACTTTAAACAGTTCATCTTTGGAGGATTTCTCCAGCGAAGGCAGAAACTGCCCTTGGGCTTGGGGCCGTTCACATCTGATATGCTGCTGTTTACTGTTTCAGGGTACTTTTCCAAACACGGGAGCCAGGATCATGCTGTTCACTGGAGGGCCCCCCACGCAGGGGCCCGGCATGGTGGTGGGAGATGAATTAAAAGTTCCCATTCGCTCCTGGCACGATATTGAGAAAGATAATGCACGGTTCATGAAAAAGGCTATGAAGGTAGGTCTGGGTCCAGGCTGCGCTTGTGGCAGCCCGAGGCAAGGTTGCTGGAATGACAGCAGCTGGGTCTCAAGTGTAGTGATGCCCTTGGCTGAGACGATCCTTCTTCTCCTCTCACAGCACTACGAATTGCTCGCTAATCGAGCTGCTGCAAACGGTCATTGCATTGATATTTATGCTTGTGCCCTTGATCAGACTGGACTTTTGGAGATGAAGTGTTGTACAAATCTTACTGGGTAAGTTGGCAGCGGGCACCTGGGAAAAGAGAGTCTTTTATTGGCAGTGCTGGGGTTGAACCCAAGTCTTCATGCACCTAGGCAAGTACACTACTGCTGAGCCATACCCCAAACCCAAAGTGTTACATTAAGGAAGAGATATTGGAGCCTAAGGAATGGCTGAGCTTTCAGGTGGCTCAGTGGCTGGGCTGTGGGCCCCGTGGAGGAAGAATTAGTGATGAGCAGGAGGCCTCAAGGGCTCACTACAAACAGGTCCTATCACAGTAACTTCATTTCTTCCTTGGAGTCTTAGATGTAAATGGAGACCAGGCCAAGCAACCAACCACAAGGTATCTGGCCTTCAGCAGGCATTTTTGAGGAGGGGCAATAATAGGTTCTGAATGCTGAAGCAATTAGGAAAAATTTGACCTGGCTAATCAACCGTACTTTATAACTGATAACTGAGCACATGGTCAGCACCTGACTCAGAGACTTTTTTGCAAGTCAGAGTGCAGAGCAGGGCTCTTAGCATGTGTGGTGCCCACACCAGCAACCTTAGAGGTCCTGGGAGCTGATGAGGAATGTACTTCTTGGACCTCATCCAGAGCTGGAGTCAGTCTCTGGGGACACGGCTCCCAGAGATTGTGCTGCACAGGAAAATAGAAGAAATGCCAATGTCAAGCACTGATCTGGCTATATAGTAGAGTCACCTGAGGATATTTTTTTTGAGATAGGGTCACCCTGTGTAGTTCAGGCTGACTTTGAACTCCCTGTATAGCCCAGGCTGACCTCAAACTCACAGTGACACTCCTGCCTCAGCCTCCAGTGTGCCAGGATTATAGGCATGTGTCACTATGCCTGGCACCTGAAGAACTTTGAAAAGCTGCTTTTGGTTTGTGTCTTGTACCTCCTCCCTGCCTTATACTATGTATTTATTTATTTATTGGTTTTTTGAGACAGGGTCTCACTATGTAGTCCAGGCTGATCTCAAACTCACAGTGATCCTCCTGCCTCAGCCTCCCGAGTGCTGGGATTATAGGCGTGTGCCACCACGCCCGGCTTCCTGCCTTATATACTATGATTTAGATAGTGTGTGGTTTGGCCTGGGCATCAACATTTTTAAAAGTTTCTCCAGGGTCTCTAACATGGGGCAGAGTCTGGCCACCACACACATCAGCCTCACCTGCAGCTTGTTAGAAATTCAGCCTCCTGGTCCTCACTACCTGCGCTGGGACATCCTAGGTGCCTTCTGTGTCATGGGCACTGTGGTGTTGGCCACAGGTCTCCAGCATTAAAGTGAGACAAAGGAAGGAGCCATCCCTTGTGTCCAGCTGGAGAGTCCAACACCTAGAGGAGCAGTCGTGGGCAGTGTCCAGGCCTGTCCTGACCTCACCTCTGTCCTTTGACCCAAAGAGCCAACTGAGCACATGACTTGGGGAACAAACTGTTATCTTCTGGAGTGTCCATCAAGGAGCAGAAGCACCCAGCAGCTCCTGAGCTCTAAGAGCCCTGATGACAAAGGGAAGGTCCTGGGTCTAGTTCTGATGCCATGTTACCACTTAGTCACCCAGTGACCCAAGACCACGACTTTCCAAGCCTCAGATGACATCTGGGCTCACCTGGTGGCTGTGGGAAAGGTGATGAAATCACACATGAAAAGACCACGAATCTGCATGAGTCCCAGTGAGGAAAGCATCATAATGCAGTATTCGGAGATTTGGAAAAAAAATGTACTTGTTGGGCCCGGGATTTAGCTCAGTGGTTCTGGTGACTGCCTCGCAAGCTCAAGGACCTGAGTTCAATCCCCGGCACCAAAAGAAAAAAAAATGTACTTGTTGCCCCCCTCCAAATGAAGTGCAGCCTAATGAACCTACTCTGCCTCCTAAACCATAGCGTGTATTTCCTAAAGATCCCAGGTGACTGGCATGTATGCAGCAGGTAGAGAAGCGCTGGCATAGAGCTGTGACTGGGCCCGTGAGTCTGCATTTTATCCCCTCTGGTCCCCACTGAGGAGGGGAAGAGGTGGAACCCAGGCTGTCCTGGAGAGCAGCAAATGTGTTAGGTGATGGAATTAGAGCTCCCGGCTGGAAGTGCTTGAGAGAACTGTATTCAGTAAGATGATGCAGTCGTGCCAGGGGCCTCTGCGAGTTCCTGACTTGGAGCATTTAGAGAAGCTCTACCACATTCATGAAGTAAAAGGTTCAATTTTGAGCCAGTGGACTGACTTGAGAAGCTTTTCCCACTGACCTAGCTATTCTCCTGTACCAAAGAGGTGAAAGAGGTAACTGGTGATAGAGAGGAACGCTCAGCTCAAACTCAGTGTGTCCTACTTTGTGACCCTCAAATATGCAGAGATTTTTTGTTGTTCTACCAGCAAGTGAGCAGTCAGTTCTGCAGTGGACTCCTGGCGGGGTATCTCTAATTTAAATCGATTCTGACTCCCCCTACATGGAGTAGCACCAGACCCTGCAGATGGCGCATCATTCACCCAGACCTCCCCCAACCTTAGATGCCAGTTGAAAGCCTCATGTTTCACGGCTTGGCTGTAAGTCAGGTTCTAGCAGTCCCTCCTGGGCTCCAGTTAATTTGCTCAAGCAGCTCACAGAACTCATGGAAGCAAGCACTTGGGCTTAGCGGTTCATTGTGAAGAACATTACAAAGAATACTGGTGATGCATAAGGCAGGGTGAAGGAAGGGAAACAACTTCCACACACTCCTGCACCTCACCCTGCAGGACCTCTGTACAGTCAGCTGCTCAGAAGCTCTAACCTGTATCCTTTTGGGGTTTTAATTTAGATTTTACTGGCTAGGCAAGATTGAAGCATGGACAACCATCCACAAATATAACTGGAAAAAAGTGTGTGAACTAAGGCTTAAGACCCTCACAGCGAGCCCTGTCTGCCTGTGATTCTTGGCTTCTGTAACATTCATTCCTCCCGAGTGTGAGGCGAGCTCCCTTCTGAACCTATCAGGCAAGGTAGGCCAGAGAATTTCTCCACGGATAAGCCAGGATGGAAGGGAGAGGAAGAGTGCAGTTTCTGTGACCCACTGGAGAAATTGTGGTTTCTTCCCTTTTGGTACCGGGGATAGAACTCAGGTCTTTGTGCTTGCAAGGCAGGCGGAGGAAACACTTAGCTCCTTGACCCCGAGAAATTGTAGTTTCTATGACCTGCCTTGGGCAGGATGTGAGAGCCAGGAACCATGGACAAAGACCGAGATACACATGTGTATATTGTGGCACTAATTGGAGTTGACAGGCTTATTGATGGAAGGGTACTTTTTTTGTTTTTAGCTTTTTGTTCAAAATAGTTATACTCAAAGAAATTGCGAATGTGATGGGAGTCCAGAGAGGCCCTCCAGTGCTCTTCATGTAGCTTTTCCAACTGGTAGCCTCTCAGTGAAAGTAGTGCTCTGTCACTACCAGAAACTGACCTGGCACAGTACAGTTAACAATGCTGCAGACCCTGTTTGGATTTTCTTAGCTTTTATGTGCACCCATTTTTCCCCATTTGGTATGTGAGTATGTAGTTCTGTGAGATTTTATCTGCAGTGTTGTGTAATCAGTACAGTAATCAAAATATAGAACAGTTCTTAAAGATTCTTCGTGTAATGTTTTAGAAATAGTTCTTTCCTAAATACAAATTGAACGTACCGTTTTCCACTGGAGTCAGTAGCACCTTACGTACGTGGTATGTTAGCTTTCTTTCGCTATAACAAAGTGCTTGACATAAACCGGCTTAAAGGAGGGAAGAGTTATTTTGCCTTCCTCTCAGGTGTGTTAGTCACAGTAGGCTGGCTCCATTGCATCAAGGCAGAAACTCCTGGCAGAAAGGGCTGGTGGAGTCGAGCTGCTCACCTCATTGCCGCTAGGAAGTAGAGACATTGAGAAAGCTGGAGAGGAAGGGGCCACGGACCCGATGTACCCTTCAAAGGCTCCCCCAGCGACCCAAGCCTCCATGCCAGCCTTGCCTCCTGGCAGCCCATCCAGCTGAGCTGAGGAATGGATTAATCACTGATGAGCAAGACTCCTGGGACCTCGTCTGCCCTGTAGGCCCCACCTCGAAACCTTGCTGTACTAGAGGGCCAGCTCCCAAGGCAACGACCTTGGGGAGCACTTCACATTTGAACTATAGCATGTGGCTTTTTCTGTTTCCTTAGATTATCGATGACTTCCAGACATTCTGCTGCTCACTTTCTTTTTCTTTCTTCTCACCCAGAGGCCACATGGTGATGGGAGATTCTTTCAACACCTCCCTCTTCAAGCAGACCTTCCAAAGAATTTTTAGTAAAGATTTTAATGGAGATTTCCGAATGGCATTTGGTGCTACTTTGGAAGTAAAGGTATGATATGATAGGATTAAAAGTGTTGGTGGCATTGGAGAATCGTCATGAGTTCAGAACTCAGACCACTGTTGACGTCAGTCTGCTGGACACAGGCATGAAAAGGGTCCAAAGGGTCCCAACAAAATGACCTAAGGGTTGCTGGTTTCCTGTAGGCCCTGCTCCACCAGCTTTAATCCAGCCAGGTTAGGAGCGGGGACTGGGTGTTAGGAGCAGCACTGTGGCCCAAAGACAGGTGGCCACTGCCCTGGACAGGCTCCCCTCGGCCATCTCTAACCTCATTCTCTGCCATGATTTCTTTCAGACCTCTCGGGAGCTGAAGGTCGCAGGAGCCATTGGTCCGTGTGTGTCTTTGAACATGAAGGGACCCTGTGTGTCAGAAAATGTAAGGAAAACCCCATCACCCTCCTCTGGCCTGCAGTGATGCCCTTAGGGAGTCATAGTGAGACAGTCTGTGGTGAAGGAACACTGAGCCGTCTGTCCCTCTGTCTGGAAGATTAGAGGAGGGACTGAGGGCCAGAGAGCTTGTGTGTGGCCAAGGGGCAGAACTGGCCTGGAGAAGCTCGATCCCAGGCCGCAACCCCAGCACTCACATGGGAGTGCTGTGCCCAGGAGCCTTCGGGGTCCCTGCAGCACAAGGCCAGCAGCCAGCAGAACCCTTCAGGAGTGAACTGTGGGCTCGGTGCTCTTAGGTGCCAGACAGCAGAGACCACTGTTTTAATTCCTCTCCCCACTCTCAGGAGCTTGGTGTGGGAGGCACAAGTCAATGGAAGATCTGTGGCCTGGATCCCACATCTACACTTGGCATCTACTTCGAAGTCATCAATCAGGTGGGTTGGATTTCTCCACACATCTTCATGTCATGGAGTCCTAATTTCTGATTTATTACTAATTGGAGTTCTCACACACCCCCCCCAACGCATTAGTATTGTACCAGTCCAGTTGCTGGTCTGGCATGTTCCTTTTTTTTTTTGGTACCAGAATCGAACTCAGGTCCTTGTGCTTGTGAGGCAGACGGTGGAACCACTGAGCTAAATCCCTGGCCCTTGGCATGATCTTTTAATCCTTCTGGGGTTTAGTCAGAGTCAGATAGCAAATTGGTTTCTTGTTGAACTGATCAGGCCATGAGAGAGTTATGGCTTTTACCAGCCATCTCAGTGTTAGTCTTTGCCTATTTCATCATGAAAAACTGTAAGCATATTAATAATTGAAATAATTATGCACTGAACACCCATGCAGCCACCAACTCAATTCTGTAATCAGCATTTTAGGATAGTACTTTGTTATATATCTGTTGATCAATCTTAGTTTTTATGCATTTCAAAGGTGTATTTCATCTGTTTTTCAACATGCATGGTGTTCCTTGGAGTTTGGTCTTGTTTAGTTTTTCCCCTCGGTGCTGGTGATGAACCCAGGGCCTCTTGTATGCTAAACACATAAACATGCACTGTAGCCTGAGCTACATCCCTGGCCCCAGGAGTTCAGTAATAAATAATAAATATGGCTCCTTCCTTCCTTCCTTCCTCTCTCTCTCTCTCTCTCTCTCTCTCTCTTTCTGAGGCAGAAGTTATATACAGTGAACTGTTCACATCCTAAGTGTACCATTTAAAATGCAGCAAGAACCTCACCAGCCTTGCTGTTGGTTGTTTCAGGAGACCCCAGTGGGCTCTGTAGCTGTGTTTGAGCCATGCGTATGACTATAACAGGTGTGTGGCCTCTCGCCCTGCAGCACAACGCCCCAATCCCCCAAGGAAGCAGAGGAGCCATCCAGTTTGTCACACAGTATCAGCACTCCAGCACCCAGAAGCGCATCCGCGTGACCACCATTGCCCGAAAGTGAGTCACCTGCTTCTTTTCTGTTGAGTCCCTTACTGGTGGTTTTCCTGTGAAGAGATGTTTTAACATTCGTCTTTTGGTCTTTCTGATTCCTGGGAATAGTGCTCCCCCATCCTCTCTGGCTCAGAAGCTTAGAAGAGACGGCAACACTCTTGGCTAACCCGGTTGGGCCTACAGGCGTTTGCCTAGATGAATCCATTTCCAGTAGGAATATAGTTCATTAAGAGTTACTTTTTATAGCCTGGCATGGTGGTGCATTCCTATAATCCCACCACTCCTACAAATTCATGTCCACCCTGGGCAGCTTAACAAGATGCTATCTCAAAATAAAAAAATAAGAAAGACACAGGATGTAGCTCAGTGAGAAATTTAGGTTCGGTTGCATATCTGTGAGTTTTATGTCCAAGGGTTCAGCCAGCCTTCAGTGGAGAACATTTGGAAAAAAATGCTTTGTCTATATGAACATGTACAGATCTTTTCCTTCTTGTTCCTTAAACAAAACAGCATAACAACTATTCAGTACACTGCATTAGTCAATATTGGTAATCTAGAGATGATTTGAAGTGTATAGGAGTGCATAGATTCTTGCAAATGCTGTCCCATTTTCTGTAAGCACCCATGCATTATGTTTCTGAGAGGCTGTGGATCCAGTCTCCGTGGACACAGAACAGAGAAGACTATTTCTTTTATTTGTTTATTTTTTGACACTGGAGATCAAACTTGGAACCTTTTGCTTTCAAGGCAGGTGGCAGAACCACTGAGCTAATTCCCTGGCCCTAGAGAAGACTATTTCTGAGATTCCTCACATGCCCTCCTCAGATTAAAGGCTGTTACTGGTTCAGCCTCACAATCCCATTTCTGTGAAGCTCTATACTGTAGGTGTTTATTGTATACATGTGCAACAGTTTGTCACATTTTTATGTGTGTTTTTTTGGTACCGGGGATCGAACTTGGGTCCTTGTGCTTGCAAGGCAGGCAGCGGAACCAGCATTTTTGTGTGTGTATTGCCTGTATTTGTATCTGTGTATACCTGCAGTTTGCAAGCCTGTATCTTGTTTATTTTGGTGCTCACGCTGTGTTGGGTAGTTTGGATAGCACATATATGCACACATTTTAAGCCTTGCCTTCCAGCAACACTGTGTTCACATATCTAGATCCTTGCACACATGGATATTCTCTTGCCAGCACTTCATAAAGGTGAGATTTAAGTACTATGAAACGGCTCTCCTGAGAATCTCATTTGCACTCTTCCCATAGTGTGAAGCAAGTGCCCTGTGGCTTCATTAGTGAAGGATATTTCAGTCTTCACCATGCCGATACAGAGCATTATCTCGCTTTGGTTTGTGTTTTCCTTTTGTCAGTGAATTGACTCTTCCTTTTAACTGGCCTTATGGATTTCTTTTATAATAGTGTTCACACAGTTTTGTAAAACTTACTCCTTTTTTTTTTTTCATTCCTTGATTTGCAGAGGCCCTTTATGTATTCTGGATATTATTGCTGTGTATTTTACATATACCTGTTCCTGGTCTGTCTGCTGTCTTAATTTTGTTCATACTGCTTTGTTCACTGGGAAGACATGGGAGTATGTGCTGATTGCTTTTTTCCACAGAGGTGACCCTGAAAGGTCATTTTGTGAGTTTGTAAACATTCAGGTTTTTTTTGTAAGATGATGGCAAGAAAGGAACGTTAGATAGAGACTGCATCTTTTGGGTGTTTGTGTTCACCATGTCTCACGCACATGGTGGGCGCTCCTGTCTCATTGCTCCTTTGAGTTTCCAACTGTCAGAGATCACGTGAGGGTGACTGAGGCCTATTGGGCTCCTGTCATCTCTTACCTGTTACATGAGTGCAGTCAGAGCTGTGTCATCGTCCACGGAAGACCAGGGTCTGTGCATGCCTGGCTCTCTGATGGCTCCTGAATGGTGCACGGCACTAACTGTGGAATTGTCAGTTGGGCAGATGTGCAGAGCCAGCTCCAGCTCATAGAGGCTGCATTTGACCAGGAGGCTGCAGCAGTCCTGATGGCACGGCTTGGAGTGTTCCGGGCAGAGTCAGAGGAGGGCCCCGACGTGCTCCGGTGGCTGGACCGGCAGCTCATCCGACTGGTAAATTGGGGTCAATAGCCCTAGGTTCAGCCTTGTTCTCTGCTTTACTCTGTAGAAAAGAAACTTGTTCCTTAAACCTGTTATACATCCCGCCAGCAAAAATTTATGCCAAAGTGGATGTTCTGAGAGTGATATGAAAGAAATATTAGTTGTGCCTTTTCCCCTGGAGGGCTAACATTAGAATAGGAAGAAACAGTGTACACAGAACATGGGAGGATGCAGGTCTGCTGGTGTAGGAATTGCATCAGATGAAGGCTCCCAGCGTGCATTTGTGACCAGTAGCCCAAGAAGGGGACCTGGTGAACTCCCTTCAGCCCTGTATTTGCCCCTTGCCATCTCTTGGAGCTGTTTGTACGGAAGTGTCAACATTCCCATCAGAATTTGAAAATGTTCCTCTAGGATTTCAAAGGGAGGACAGGTGAGCAGAGAGTGAAAGGACTGGCAAAGACTTCATGTGGGAAGTCTTCATCTAGGACTTGTAGAGTAGGGTAATAGGAAAGGGCAGTAGCCATGTCCTTCAGCTTATGCTGAGAACAGTGGAGGGACTGCTGTCACAGGGGCTGTGCTGGCCGTGGGAACAGAGGCTGGGATTGCAGAAGGTCTTTATATTTATTTATTTTTTTATATTGGGGATTAAACTCGGGCCCTTCCACTTGCGAGGCAGAGGCAGAACCACTGAGCCAAATGCCTGGCCCCTAGAATGTCTTAACTTCAGGGAGAGGTTAGACAGGGTGAAGTTCCTTGGACAGGGGTGTGATATAAGCACAGTGCTTGTACTCGTGCTTATCATTGGCGTAGCAGGTGAATTGCAGGGGAAAGGCCAATGTTAAGATGGAGCAATTTGCAGGCTCCAGGGAGCTGAGTCCGTGGTAGTGGCAGTAGAAACAGGAGGAGCCAAATCTGACTTGGAACTAAGTGTGCTAAAATGAAAACTGCTGAAATAACTATATAAAAACTAAAAAGCAGGGCTGGGGATGTAGTTCAATGGTAGGGTACTTGCCTAGTATGCACAAAGTCTTGTGTTCAGTCCCTGGCACTGGGGTCAAAAAAGGGCCAGCATCGTCTCACATTTCAAGGGGGGTAACTGCAAGCATTGTGGTAAAAAATGGGGAAGGAGAGAACTTTAATGTGTACAAAGGTGAGTTGGTTTTTTTTTTTAAATACAGTGGCTTATTTTTGATAGGTTGAATGTGATCTTATAGAAATATATCCAGAGTTGGACCGGGGATTTAGCTCAGTGCTTCTGCAGCCTGCCTTGAAAGCACAAGGTCCCAAGTTCGATCCTGGTACCCCAAAAAAAAAAAAAAAAAAAAAAAAAAAAAAAAAAAAAAAATCCAGAGTTGGCCTGGTATCTAATCACAGCACTCTAGGATATAGATTTAAGTTTATATGGAACACAGTCCAGTAATTACGTGGAAATCCCCACTGGAGCTTAGGCTAGCACTCAGAACTTGACACAGTGAGGGAGATTTGGAGTCATCAGTGTGGTTCTAATATCCATTTGTTACCAAGGCAGCAAGCAGGTGTGAGTACAGGGGCAACGAACCCACCTGTGATCAAACTGCAGTGAGACGTGAGGAGAACAAGGAGCCACTAAAGAAGGCAGAGAAGGCTTGCTTGGAAAGATGAGGAGAAATAAGAAAATAAGGTTTTAGTAGCAGAAAGGAGATCAAATTTGATAGGGAGGTAATTCCTAGGAATGGGCAGAGGCTGGGCATGGTGGTGCATGCCTCTAATCCCAGCACTTGGGAGGATCACCATAATTTCAAGGCCTGAGCTTGGTGGGTGAGTTCAAGCCTGTACTGCGTAGTGAGACCCTGTTTAATAAAACACAATGGGCAGCCTAGTCCTCTATTGGCTGGAGGACAGGTGTGGTTGGAATAAAGGCAGGAAAGGAAGAGAAATCATTGCGTTTCAGAGACCCACCACTGAGGGAGGAAAAAGTGCATTGCAGCAGGACAGAATGTGAGTGTCCCTATACTGATTGCTAGTAGTGTGATCATGCAGGCTGTCTGTCATGCAGGAGTGCTGCCTTATAGCCCAGAGCCATTGGGGCAGGGTGGCCTGGCTGGTGGTGCCTGGGAGCTGCTGGAGACACAGAGCTGCTAGCTCCTCCCAGTCTGCCCTTGCTGTTCCAGTCTAGAACTCACAGAAAGTGGCAGAGTTAAGGTGGGAATATGGTTCCTAGTCCAGGAGTTTTCCAGGTGACACTAACTCAGGTTCTCTCTCTCTCTCTCTCTCTCTTTTTTTGTTCTTTTTGATATTTTCTTTCAACAGTGTCAGAAGTTTGGACAATATAACAAAGACGATCCCACTTCTTTTAGGCTATCAGATGCCTTTTCTCTATATCCTCAGGTGAGAGAAGCACATTTCAAGGGCTGGGATGTAGCTTAGTGACAGGGTACTTGCCCGGCACGCATAAGGCCCTGGGTTCCATCCCTAACACCACAAAAGGAAACAGAAAAGAAACAAGCCAATAAAAAAGAAATACACGTTTGCAACAGAACAGTAAGTATGAGAAAATTAAACTATTCTCAGGGTGAAATGAAGACTTCTGGGTTTTGAGTCTCACACTGTAGATGACAAAGGTCAGTGGGGCTTTGCTCAGTGCTGAGTGCAGGGGTTACATGAGCTGAAGCCATTGAGAACTCGGCATCTTTCTTGGTGCCAGGCCCTGCTCAGCACTTCTTAGACGACCCTCACATGTTCAGGCACCTGTGTCCCATTGGTTGAGACTATGCAGTGTTGTGAGAAGAGCCCCACACGGGCCCTGCTCCTGCTCATCCTTGGTGGTGTCCCCAGCCCCAGTGCATTTTGGTTTCTTCATCTGTGGAAGGCAGGAGTTGGTCTGCAGTCTCTAAAGCTATGAAACTCATTCTCCTGAGGGCCCTGCACAAAGCCCTCTGACATGGACACACTGGGTGCTGCTGGGTCTTCCAGAGCTGAGACTGAAGAGCCAGGTGCAGCTCCAGTTGAGATGGTGGCTGCAGTGCCCGCTGTGGCGAGGCATTCGAGGGTGGAGGTCAGAGCAGCTCTGCCACGCAGAAGGGGTGAGGCTGTGGGCCTTGCTTCTGCACTTCACTTTCCTCGCTGTAAGCTGGGTCTGGCATGAGAACCTGCTGCAGGGGCCCACTGGAAGGACTAAATAATCCTTGTCAAGCACTTTGTGCCGTGTACACAGGGTGTACTGTTAGCCACGGTGATTATTTCAGAACCTGTGATTAACGTGTAGAGGCTCAGGAAACTTGATGCTTCTAGAGGAAGCATGTTTTCATTTTCGACAGTTCAGAGCAAGCTAAGTCTGTCCTGCCCTATCTCATCCTCGGGGTAAAGAAGTGACCTTTCCAGTGTCGGCTCTTGCCCCCTCTGCCTCACACTTACCCTTGCTCCCTTGCCAGCCCATGTCCTGAGCACAGCTGGCCATTCCTGTCCCTGTGGTCCCCTCGTTGCTCCTTTCTGCCTCCGCCCTCCAGCCTCGCATGTGTCTTTCCACGTTACTGTCAGACCCACCACTTTGGGGTCTTCTGCTGCCCTCCCCACAGGAGGAATTTCTTGTGCCGTGGCTCCTACTCAGAGCCCCAAGGGCATTATTTCCCCCTTATAACTCATTTCTTTGAAAGCACAGTCTCTCCACACCCCAGTTCAGGGACTCTGGAAATAAATTTTTGTCTATCTCTTTTCTCATAAGGAAGCTTTGACCTATCAAGAAGCCCCCTTTTTAAAAATGTACTTCAGAAAAATTTTAACTGTTGTAGAATTTACCATCTTATCCTGTTTTAAGGTTACAGTTGTGTGATGTTTGATAAATACACTCACACTATTGTGCAAGAGATGACCAGAATTAATTCATCTTGTAGAGCTGAAACTCTACACCCATTAAACAATGACTCCCCATTTCCCACTTCTGCCAGCCCCCGCTGCCACCTTCTGCTCCTGTCTCTATGAACCTGGAGGCTTTTTCAGAGCGCCTGGGTTCTCCTGTTGAGATCTAAGGCAAGCCTGCTCTCTGGGTACTCATAGTTGTATATGTTTGTCTTTTCCCCTTTGTGAATGCAGTTCATGTTCCACCTCAGAAGATCGCCGTTTCTCCAAGTGTTTAACAACAGTCCTGACGAGTCATCCTATTACAGACACCACTTTGCACGGCAGGACCTGACCCAGTCCCTCATCATGATCCAGCCCATCCTCTACTCCTACTCCTTCCACGGCCCACCGGAGGTGAGGCTGGCTACACCAGCTTCCCTGGGAGCGGCAACCACCTGACTGGAGGGTTTTTTCAAAGCATCCTCTCACAGTAGAACTGGAAAAAAGAGAAGAAAGGAAAGAAAATTGTGAATTTTTATAGTAATTTAGCATCTCTGAGTATTTAAAGAGAATTCATAGGCTGGGTATGGTGGTATTCGCCTGTAATCTCAGCACTTGGGAGGCTGAGGCAGAAGGATAACCATGAATTCAAGGCCAGCCTGAGCTACATAGTGAGTTCAAGGCCAGCCTGAATTACATAGTGAGACCTTGTCTCAAAAAACGAAAAAAAGGGCCGAAGATTTAGCTCAGTGGTTCTGCCCCCTTCCTCATAAGCACAAGGTTTGAAGTTCAATCCCCAGTACCAAAAAAAGACAAAACAATAAGAATTAAAAAGAATCCATAGGAAAAACTCAAAAGACAAATAAAACAGTTTTTTTGTGGGAGTTAGGAGTAGCTACAAAAAACTGAAAAATACAAGGATGCTTTTTATCCAATGAGTTTATATACTTTGACCAGTAATTCCAGGTCTTACAAAGTGTCTGGAAAAATACTCCTAGATAAAGAAAAAGCTATGTGCAGAGAAACAATAAATGAATTCCTATAACAGAGAATTATAAAATAATCCAAATGCTTGGTAGTGAAGAAATAAGTAATCTAAGAAATACATAATTTATGTAACATAAAATATAGACATCCTTATGTGAAAATGTTACATGAAAAGAAAGTAGAAACTTTCCTAAAAGAATACCTACATGGAATAGAGCATTGCTCAATTTGCAGGTAAAGTCAACTACAATCTTTTAAAAAAAAAGAAACTTTTCTGAGTTGTGATTTTTAGAAGACTTCAAAATAATGAACTTGGAAATAATCTAAAATGTCAATATTTTTTATACTTTGGGTACAGATTTTCTTAAATTTAGTATGTTGCTTTTATTATTATTTTATTTATTTTTGGTATTGGGGATTGAATTTGTGCTTGCGAGGCAGGCAGTGGTGCCCAGTTATTTTGTTATTAAAATAAAAATCACGATAAAATATATTTCATAACGAACTTCAAGAACTTGTTACTACGCCACCTGCTTTGTAAGTGCAAGTTTCTGAGTTCGATCCCTAGTACCAAAACAAACAAAAAAAAAACAAGAACTTATTACTAAATGCTCCTTGCTCTCAAGTACAGCTAAAGTAGATTTGAGAGAAAGACAGTTTGATAAGATGAATTTTTTTATGTACCAGGGATCAAAATCAGGATCTTACACTTGCGAGGTAGGCACAGATCCAGTGAGCTAAATCCCCGACCCCTATAAGATGAATTTCTAACACCAAACTGAGAATGCTCAGAATCATTTCTGGGTCCTAGATCACAAGATACCACTCACATCTCTTTCCACCTGGTTGTCAGGGGCCTGTTTCTCCTCAAAGTTAAGACTTGGAGCCCCTGGGCTGGGGAGCCCTGTGGTGTAAGGGTTGGTCTAGCCCATGGGTCCTGGCATGAGGCTGCAGTGGCTGTCTATGGGGCATGGCAAGGCCCAACACCTCCTCTGTCTCCATCTCTCCCTAGCCGGTGCTCTTGGACAGCAGCAGCATTCTAGCTGACAGAATCTTGCTGATGGACACTTTCTTCCAAATTGTCATTTATCTTGGTGAGGTAAGATGATTTTATCGCTTTCTTTACTGGCTGTTGTTTCTGCTTTTTGTTACTTGTGAATTTGGGTTTTTCATAAGATTTGAAGCAAGAATTCTGTAGTATTTATATATTTCACGAGAGTAGTATGTGCTGTACGAAAATCTCAAGTGGTCTTTTGTTTTGGTGCCAGAGATCGAACTTGAGACCTTGTGCTTGCAAGGCAGACGCAGAACCACTGAGCTAAATCTCCGGCCCTCTAGTGGTCCTTTTAAATCACTGTAATTTATTACTTTGTGAAAGTGTCAGGTAAACGAGTTTATTCTTAGTAAACTCATTGTACAGACTGCTGTTCTTAGGGTTCTGTGAGGGGTAGTGGGTTGGAATCCACAGGTTTTCTCTGGTGGAAGAACCTGGCATAAGGACAGCATGCTGGGTCTGTGAGTTCCTGGGGTGGCTGTGGATGGCTTCAGGGAAGAGAGGATTTCTTTCTTTCTCAAAGGGGTTTGTGCTCTACAGAGGGAATGGCTCCTGAATTTCTGCATCGTTATGGGGGTGGGGCTGTTCTTTTTTTTTTAACCACACACTAGGGGTTGCACCCACGGAGTGCTGAGTTATGCCTCTAGGCCCCCTTTTTTTTTGGCACCAGGGATCAAACTCAGGTCTTAGTGCTTGCGAGGCAGGCAGCAGAACCACTGAGCTAATCCCTGGCCCCTAGGCCCTTTTTAAATAGTTGTATTTTGAGACAGAGTCTTATTAAATTGCCCATGACCTTGAATTTCTTATCTCAGCCTTCCAAGTAGCTGGGATTACAGGTATGCACCACCTGCCTAATAGAAAAAAACCTTTTAATCCATATTCACCATATTCACCATATTCAGTGATGCTCTCTATTCTGTTGTATATTCTTTCCTTTCAGTAAGCTGTTTTTGGTGATTGATTTGGCTTCCTAGAGTCCAAACAATGCAAGTGATTGCAAATGTCCTGAAAGAATATAAATTGTGTTTCTGAATTTCTGGAGTAATTTAGGAAGTATTAATTTTCAGATAGTAGTAGGTGTTTCATAACTTGAAATTCTTCAGCCTGTCAGCACCTCTGCTGGCCCCTTGTCCACAGAGACGGGCCATCCAGTGACCAGCAGCTGTATCACCTGATGATTGTACTTCATCCCTTGTTATCCCACCCCCATCCTGTTCATTTACTTATTTATCAAGCACCTTTTTTGATCAAGGCAGGAGTTCTAAAGAGGAAGCTGAGATGTTTTTCTGTCTGTTTATTTCTTATTCTTCAGAAGCCCTGAGTCTGCTGGCTGTGGGTGTTCAGTAGAGTTCTTGCAGTTGTCCAGGCTGGGCCTAAACTTGTGATCCTCCTGCCTCAGCCTCCCTGAGTGCCAGGATTACAGGCATGCATCACCATTCCCAGATCTTACAGCTTTTCTCTCCTCTGGTTAGTCCCACCTAGCCTGCCCTCCTGCCTGAGGGGAGCACAGTGTGGGTGCTGTTGGGCAAAGAGAAGGCAACATAGCTTTATGTAGGCAGCGGCACACCCTTTCCCTCCAGGTGTGAGGTGTGAGGGGCTAGACTGGGGGTAACAGTGGGAGTGGACTGGAAGAAAGGAGCATTGCAGTTGGGAAGGGACAGGGGATGAGGCTGCTGGCTGACATCTCTGAGAGGAGCTCCCAGGTGGTGTCCTGTACACCCCTCTGTGGCCCTTCCTGCCTCTCCTCCCCCAGCCCCCTTGTTGATTTGTGACTTCACCAGGACCCATCCTGGGAGGTCGTGCTGGAAGGCCTGGAGCGGGGATGGAGGCCACCATTGCAGCCTCCCCATGACAGTTCTGGTGGGCTTGTTTCTGTGCAGACCATAGCGCAGTGGCAGAAGGCCGGCTACCAGGACATGCCTGAGTACGAGAACTTCAAGCACCTGCTGCAGGCTCCGCTGGACGACGCGCAAGAGATCCTGCAGGCGCGCTTCCCCATGCCGCGCTATGTCCACACAGAGCATGGTGGAAGCCAGGTGACCGCTGCCCTTGTCTTCAGAGATGATGGAGGGCTGCGAATCCAAGTATTCAGCACTGCTGCGTGTGATGGAATCACTGACAGATGACAGTCTTCCAGCTGTGACTTCTTTTTAAACAAATATGCTGGTGTAGAAGGATAGGAGCTTTCCGACGTGGGTAGCCCGTTTGTTTAAGCTAGTGATGTTCCCGTGTAGTGAAAGGTTTCTGATATAACCAGCAAACCTGATTACACTAATGCCACTTTTAACGCTTGACCTTCTTTTTTTAAAGGCTCGATTCCTTTTGTCCAAAGTGAACCCGTCTCAGACACACAATAACCTGTATGCTTGGGGACAGGTAAGAAATCATCAGGAATTTAAAAACTTGTTTTAAAATCCTATCAAATAAGATACTTTGGTCCTGAGACAAAGAGTAACTTGGGTAATTTTGCTGAGGGGAAGAAATCTGACTTTTTTTGTTTTTTGTTTTTGTTTTTGGTACTGGGAATTGAACTTGGGTCCTTGTGCTTGCGAGGCAGGCGGCGGAATCACTGAGCTAAATCCCTGGTAGAAACCTGACTTGTAATGCCATATTGAGGTGGGGTGGAGCTGCTGCCTCTGGGTCACTGGCGCAGTGTACAGTGCAGTGCACTGGCTTTGGCCAGAGCGGGACACTGCCTGCACCTGTGCTCTGCTGCTGGACGTGGGGCAGCATGGCCCCCGTCTTCTCCCTCCTAGCACCACACCGGAGCTCCTGCCCATTCCTTTTGTCTCGGCCAGATGCCTCCTTTACTAGTTATTCCCAGCATCTGTGTATCTCTCCAGTTCTCATTCTGTTTTCCTGTAATATTTTTTTTAATGAACCCGTTTTTGAGATAATGATAAATCGTGTGCAGTTATAGGAAATAAAAAAAAAATGAGATCTCTTGTACCCTCTCCTCATTTCCCGCTAATGGTAACATCCCCATGTTAAGTGACATGGAAAGGTGTCTGCACAGTGGGGTGGCCTTGTCTCCAGGGACCTGGCACGGTTCAGTTGAAAGCAGCAGTTACTTTGGCAGAGGTGATGCCTTTGGATGCTCTGAAGTGGGAAGGTGCTTAACAGCTCCTGAATTCTACCCAGCTTCTGGTCTCTGCGGTTGAGCCTCCTCCGTTGCATTGCAGGAAACCGGAGCGCCCATCCTGACAGACGACGTCAGCCTGCAGGTGTTCATGGACCACTTGAAGAAGCTGGCTGTCTCCAGTGCCAGTTAGGTGGAGGGCTGGCTGGAATTAACGAAAACCCTGTCCAGTGTGCTCACCTTTGTTTATAAAGGCTTCGTAACATTCCCTTCACTTTTTAATAAGTAATCAAAGCAAGTTTTGTATGTAAATCTGTAGGTTATAATTTATTTGTCTCTCTTGTGTTTGTCCCTTTTCCATATCATAAAATTGTAAGGTCATAAACCTTAGTAGTAGTTTTTGTGCTTTTTGTCTCCTAACTTTTTAGTCTCTATAAAATCAGAGATACTGTGTTTGGGCATCTTGTTTTGACTCAAATATTAAGGATCGTAAAGGAAACAAAACTGGATGAGGAAATCACTGGCTAAAACAGTGCTAATACACATTTGATCCCCTGAGGTGTCTGTGTGTCTGCAGGTTAAGTGACTTCCTCAGAAGGCATTTCCTGAACGTAGTACTTTCTGAGCATTAGGAGTCCAAGGAAAAGTAAGACACGTGTGAAGCTCTGTTGGGGTGGGGCCTGCCTGAGTAACTTGCCTGTCCACAGTCCAGCCCAGGTGATATCAACAACAGCTGATGGCATAAGTGACTAGGACACTGATAACGCATCTGTCTTGGGTAAAACAACTTAAACAGGTGCTTTTTAAAAATCAAAGTAATACACACATATGGTCAAAGCAAACACCTAACCCTGGAGAGCTTGTGACAAGCAATGGTTCCTTCTCTCCCTGATCTTAAACCTACCATTCAGAACTGCATTCATCTTCTTACATGGTTTTGTTGTTAAAGTATTAAGTTTTAGCCAGTATCTTCCAATTTATATTTATATAGAATGAGGATATTGTGACCTTTCTACCCTCCAGTTTTGGTCAGTGATACCTTTATTTTTATATAATCAAGATTGGTACAATTTATATCTTAACTGTAATTACATTTTTGTCTCAAGTTGATTGTGAATACTTAATAAAGTGCATTTACACAACTGCTGATGTAAATGTTGTTCCTGTGCAAGGCAGGTAGTCGTGTATGTTTTCTTCTCATAGATTTTGTGTCATAGTCTCTGTACCACTTGGAGAACATTCCATTTATAACAAAATCGGAGTCATTTTTCTTACATAGCACCATGCCACATACTGCTGGCTTCCCGTCTGGTTTATAATTTTTTAGATTTGCTGTTGTTTTCCCAGAGTTTCTTGTTTTTAGTTGCCTGCTTTTTTTTTTTTCCTATTGCTGTCATGGGAGAGAACCCAGGGTATACTACCATTGAGCTATACTCCTGGCCCTTTTGAGACAGGGTCTCACTAAGTTGGCCTTGAGCTTGCAGTCCTCCTGCCTCAGCCTTTCCAGTAGCTGGAATTACAGGTGTGCACTACCACACCCAGCTCTTTGGTTATTTTTTTTTTCTTGGTACCAGGGATTGAACTCTGGGATTGAACTGCTCTTGGCAGGCAGATACGGCACTGCTGAGCTATATCCCCCGGCCCTCTTTGATTACTTTTTACAAGAATTATTTTGCCTTCTTAAGAGATTCCACTTTATTATCTTATTGAATGAAGGCCACTTTTTCTCTAAAGCCTTCTGGTGCCCTCTTTTAACATTAACCAGCTGTTTTCTAGGCCTGCCACATAGCTATTGCCCAGGAATTTATTTTATGCAGAATCCTGGATTAATGTCACCCTTCTTTTTATCCTGCAATTCATCTTGCTATCTCAAATGACTTTTCCTTAGAAAAGCTTATGGGAAGCATTTCCTTACATTTAGGCACAATTGCATGTCCATTTGGTCTTCAGGATTGGCAACTTTTCTGGGTCTAAAATTCCAGGTTCAAAATAATTATCAGAAGTTTGATCCATGATTTCACTCAGTCAGCAGAAAACTATTCAGTACTTGGTGTGAATGGAGTAGGCTTTAGGCATTGGGAATATGCCCCATGACACAAATTCCTTGCCCACTTGGAGTTGAGGCTCACTCAACTAGCAAGCTAGGGAACACTAGCAATGAAAAAAAAAAGAGATATATTAAAGATATATTAGAGGATAATGAGTACTCTGTAGAAAATGAACGTGAGTTCTCCAGATTTTTTTTTTCCAAAGCAAAAGCAAGATATATGGCAAGAAGCAGAACAGACTCTTCCAGAGAGGAGGGGCCCCAAAGCTGGGAGGTCCCATCCTCCAGAATTTTATGTCTGCTTTCTTTGTGTTTGGCTGGTTTCATTTAGCACGAGCCATCCATGTTGTCTCTGTAAGTAGTTCCTTTCTATTGCCAAGAGATATACTTCATTTACCTTTTCACTAGCTGGTAGACATTTGAGTGGTTTCCATTTTTTGCTGCTGTGAATGAAACCGAACATCCATGCACCTGTACTTGTGTGGACATAAGATTTCCTCTTCTGGGGAAATTGGGATGGAGTCATATGATGGGTGTGTTCAACTTAGTGCCAGGTTTGCAGAGTGTTCATGTTCCCAGATTCACGTTCCCATGAGTTCCCTGTTCATGTTCCTATGAGTAAGAGTGGCAGGTGGATCAAATCCTCACATCTTTTGGTATTCTTCAGTCTTTTTGTTGTTTTTTTGAGACAGGGTCTTACTATGTAGTTGAGACTGATCTGGAACTCACTACGTACCTCAGGCTGGACTTGAACTCACAGTGATCCTGCCTCAGCCTCCTGAGTGCTGGGATTACAGGCGTGTGCCACCATGCCTGGCCTCTTCAGTCTTAATGTTAGCCATCATAAGAGGCACTTTTGTCACTGGGAAGCTAGATCCTAACTCCACAAGGAATTGGCAGCATACTCAGTCCTTTTGTCTTTGATGACCTATGAGGCCATTGACTAGTCTACAGACAGGGCTTACTGCAAAATGACAGAGAAAACCCATAATGTATCTCAAGCGGAAGATGGGCAAACACCAAGATGGCAGCTGCAGTGACTGAGGTCTCAGGTTCCCTATATGATTAACTAGGTCTTTAAAAGAATAGCTGTTCCTGCAGTCTCATTGTTTTACAAAGAAAGTGGGCTATGTTGACCTACTAAGTCTCTGTTTACTCCCTAGGTATATGTTTTTGTTTAGTGTTTTGAAACTGGAGGTTTTCTAAACTTTCATTCATGGTCTTGACTTTGAATGACCCTAGACCTTATCAGTATGGTAAGGAGTTACCTTCTTGGGCTAAGTCTGAAACTACAAGCTAGTGTGGATTTTATCTATAGTTCATGATTCAGAATGCAAAGAAGGTTACGCATGTCCTTTGCTTTTCAAGTATCCCCTACCTGCTATCTCCAGGTCTGCTCATGTCTAACTTTTTGCCTAACATTTTGGTTCCTGTGTTGATTGACCATTTGTACATTTTTTTTAATGGTACTGGGGATTGAACTTGGGACCTTGTCTTCTTTGATTACATTAAAATGTGTTGGGTTTTATTTATTTATTTATTTATCTATTTTTGGTACCAGGGATTGAACTTGGGACCTTTTGCTTGTGAAATAGGCAGCGGAACCACTGAGCTAAATCTCCAGCCCATGAGCTGGGTTTTTAGTTGGATTGGATTGTCTCTTTTTTTGTTTTGTTTTTCATTAATTTTATTGGTACATTTTAGATATACAATATAATAGCATTCATCATTGGAAATTTATACCTTTACATAATCTATCTTGGTTCTTATTTTTTCCCCATTGCCGTCCTCCCTTCAACCCCTCTACCCCTCCCTATTTACAAAGGCTTGGTTTCCATTTTTTCATTTTCTCACATTAATTCCATTCCCTTCTTTTCCCAACACATCCCACTTTCCCTTTGGATCCTTCCCATTTCAAACTATCAATTATACATTTTGATCCTTATTTACACTTTTAGTTTTTCACACCAGAGAAACTATTCAGTATTTATATGTGTGTCCTATTTATTTCACTTAAGAGTATGGCCTTGATGTGTATCCATTTAGCTATAAATGTCTAGTTTCTTTTTTTTTATGGCTGAATAGTACTACATTTTATAAAAATACCCCACATCTTTTTATCCAGTCTCCAGTTGATGGGTGGTTAGGCTGTTTCCTTGTTTTAGCTATTACATACTGCTGCTATAAACATGGGTGCACATATCTCACCGTGGTGCAGTTCTTTTAATTCTTTTGGGAAGATATCCAGGAGAGGAATAGCTGGGTCAGATGGACTTCTAATCCTGTTTCTTTGAGATATCTCCATATTGATTTCCACAGCGGTTTTACCAGTCTGCACTCCCACCAACAATGGAGGAGAGTTCCTTTCTCCCCCACAACCCTGCCAGCATTTGTTATTTGTTGATTTCTTGATAGCAGCCATTCTTTCTGGGCTGAGGTGGAATCTCAGCATTGTTTTCATCTGCATCTCTCCAATGACCAATGATGTTGAACATTGTTTTCGTATGTTTATTTGCTGCTTTTACTTCTTTGAGAAATGTCTGTTCATTTCAGATGCCCATTTTTGAGTTGGGTCTTTATATTTATATTGGGAGTCTGATTTTTTTGAGTTCTTTATATATTCTAGATAGTAAACTTGAGGAACAGCTGAATTGTCATTTTATAAGTGGTCCTTACATATCTTTGAAATAAGTCCTTTTACATACATACATATATATATATGCATTTTGAAATTTTATCCTGTTGTCTTTTCATTTTATCACCTGTGCATTTCAAAAATCAAAAGCCTTCATTTTGAAAATTTTAAAACTAATTTTGAAATTTTATCAGTATTTGCTTTGTTGTTCATGCTTTTTGTATTTTGAAAAATCATTGTTATCCCAAGATGGCAAGATTTTCTCCTTTGCTTTCTTCTAGGTTTATAGTTTTAACTTTTATAGGTAAGCCAGTGAACCCTTTAATTTTTGGAGTTGTAGATTTCTGTAGGCAGAACACCAAGTTTTAAAGGCTAGGTAGTGGCTGGCCATGCTGGCCTCTAATACCATCACTCAGGAGGCTGATGAGGCAAGAGGATCACTGGGAGTTTGAGGCTAGCCTGAACTACAAAGCAAGACCCTGTCAAAAAAAGAAAGAAAGAAAAAAGGATAGGTAATGGAAAAGGAGCCCTGAAAGATACCAGAGAGCGGAGGGAGGAGAGTGGCTATCAATGTCAAAGGCTTTTTAGAAATTAAGTTTGAGTATGGATGAAAAACAGTCCAATTTACTGAGCCCACTTTGGACCAAGCACCAGCCTGGCATAATCCACAAATTGCTCAGTCTCTAGGAGCGTGGGTGAATTATGCTTTAAGAAATGTATGAATAAGAGAAAAGAAGGTGCAAAGTTGAAGATTTTTCGCTTTTGTGTCGTGGGCACAGTTGGCATGATGAAGACAAAGTGAACAGAATGAAAATGAGTGGGGTGTGGGGTAGCATTGCGTGTGATTGGTAGGCGAGGCCCCACCAGAGGCTGAAGAATTGAGACCCAGAGAACAGAGGGTGTATTAGCTTTGACTTGAAGTACCTGAAGTTTACCCTGAGTTCCAGACAGCAAAACTGGAAAGATGAGGTGCAAAGTAACAACATCCTCGCAAATCTTGTAGGCTGTAAGAGGAAATGTAATAAACTTTTTCAAATATCGTCTGGCCTTTGTAAGGCAGGCATTGAAATTTTGCAAATGTGAAGTTTCAACTCAGAAGCTGCCAACTGCTCCCCATCCGGTGGCGTGCAGGGTCGCGCTTGCCATTCGGTATCACCAAGATCCATGCCTCAGAGGTGGAGCGGACTACATTATCCAATGTGCATCGCGGCAGCAGGCCGCGACATCAGTTTCTCATTGGTGGCGGCGGCGGATATTGCGACTACTAACCGGAAGGCCCGCCTCGCCTGCGCTTTGCGAGAACCAGTCCTGGTCGTTCCACCATGCAGCCAAAGCAAGCCTTGTCCTGGTACCGGCGGCTGTCTGTGATCTACGGGATGGGCGCCTGGACTCTGTTTGGTTCTGCATTTTACTTTTTCGGGAAGAAGAAGCCTTCAGGTAGGACTGTCTGGCGAGCCCTTCCTCGGGACCCGCTGCTTTCCGCGAGATACCCACGGGTCAGAGAAGCGACCTCTTGTGTTGTAAAACCCCAGGTCTATTCTGCAAAAGTGGTCGAGGTTATTTGCCGCATATTATGCAATCCTTAAAGAGATGCCAGGAGATGCCCTTTAATGCTGTCACTTAAACCTTATTTATTGAATAAAGCCGTTCCCATACTCACAATTGGAGGAATCTGTGTAAAATCTGAGATGGAATTTCAGAGACCCTGGAGTTGGCATAACGAAGTGATGCTGTCATCGGTTCAGGTTGCACAAGGCGAGCAACAACTTCGGAACTTTTAGCGGTTGAGGAGTATAAAAGTCTTCCCATTTATTGGGAAAAGGGAAGCACAGCGCCATCCTATAAGTGTTGGAAATCATAAAGACGGAAAGTTGATGGGTGCGGATATCTGGCTGAGGGGTGGGGAAGATGGGCGGTGACAGAATTGTAGAACCTCAAATGGACGGAAGTATTGGAAAGTTAATTGTGGTGTTGGTTGTGCAATTACAAATACACAAAAAGCCGCTGAATTCTGTCTTTTAAAGTAAGATAATTGTTAAGTATATTTCAATAAAGCAGTGGTGAAGACATTATGAATATTATCAGTGGCCTGAATATTACCAGTGGGCAGTATTATGTGGAACATGTCTGTCATGTCATGTTTTTCTTTTTTTTTAAAGAAAGAAAATGTTAGCTGGGGATTTAGGTCAGTGGTTCTGCCGCCTGACATCTGATGCCATAAGTTTTAATTTAGCTTATTTCTGAAACTTGAATGACTGATCTAATTCAGCTGTTCTTTTCTTTTAGAAGGTCATGAAGTAGAACAAAAGGATCTCCCAAGAAGTGAAATTGTACCCGAACCCCTGAAAGGGTTTTATGTGGAAACGATTGTTGCATATGATGAAGATTATACTTCACTTTCTGACAGGATCCGTGACTTTGTGAAAAAATGGACTGGTGATTCTGGTTCAGAACCGTGATTGGCTGCTGAATTCTGAAAACAAGGACTTTGGCTCAGCATTGATACATGATAGGTGCCTTGATTTCTATTTTATGTTTGTGGAAAGTATATATTTAATTATGCAGTTAAAAATGCAATAAATATTTCCTTGAAAGAAACTAAACTTACATAATTCAAGAGATATTCCTCTCTATATGGGGAAAAGTTAATGAAATTTCATAGAGGTTCCATAAGCTGAGTTTTTTGAAAGTAGTGCATGTGACTTTTTTGCATGCTGCTGTTAAAGTCTTAGTGGTCCCTTTAAAGTTAGTCAGCAGCTGGGTGTAGTGGTACATGCCGATAATTCCAGCACTCCAGAGACTGAGGCAGGTGCATCACTGTAACTACAGAGACCCTATCTCAAAAAACAAGAAACACTGCAAGTAACCAAGCCCCAGATACCAGCAGCAGAGACCTCAGCTTCTCACAGGACATGAGAGGTCAGAACAGGTCAGTTGGATTAGTTTGGTTGGCATCACACTGATGAGCAAGAAACATCACAGCAGTGGCCAGGGAAGGTTAGAGGGAAGGTCCCCTCAGTGGGAACAATAGCATGGCCTCGGGAAACATCATCTGTAGGGATTTTCAGTCCAGAAAGGGCAAATGCTGAGGAACTGGTATGTGGCAGGTGACAGCTGTTTATTCATAATTCACACCTACGATATACTATTGGACTTCTCTGCCCTGGAAGTTACCCAGTACCCATGAACTAACCAGTAAGGGCTTCAGGGGACACTTGGCTTTGCCTTCCCTGAGACTTGGTGGGGTTTATCTGACGGATCTGGCTTCCGTCCCTCTCAATGAAGGGCAGCCCTCTCCTGGGCTCCGAAGCTGCCTCTGTTCAAGTGGTGCTGCTTGGATATTGTAGCCACTTCAGATGTGTCTGGAGCTGACTTTGCTGCCTTTCCTATGAGCCTGTTCTTCTGTTCTCTTAGAGGATGTTTGCTTTCCGAAGCAGTCAGAAGTCCTGCACTCTGGACTTCTCCCTCTTCCTGTTGCTTCTGTAGTCAGCCTGTCCTGTCTCTTCGTATCACACACTGTCACACATCACTTAGTGACGGACATGTTCCTCAAAGCATGTTTTTAGGTGACTTTACATCATGTGAATGTCCTCGTGCGGACTCAGGATACCAGATGTGTGGAACAGACCTGTGCTGCTGCCGCTGTGCTGCAACACAGCGGTACCTGTGTATCTATGCTTACAAAGTACAGTAAATCACCGCATAAAAAGCTTAAAACCAGGTGGCCCGCAGGGGATGTGGTGAGAATGATGCTTCCTGGTCGGAAAGGTGCTCTAGCTGGGTTGGGAAGTGAAGGGACACAGCTCTCCCTGCTGGAAGCTCAATAAAAACTACACTGCAGCTATGCTGAACTCACCAAACTACTTTTCTTCAGTAGTAAATTAGCTTACTGTAACTTTTCTACTTTACAAATTTCAATTTTTAAAAATTGTTGACTCCTGTGTAATAACAGCTTTTAACACAAATATGTTGTGTAGCTGTACAAATCATCATCATCTCAGTAGTAGTAGTAGTAGTACTTGGGATTGACCCCAGAGCCTTTACACTGAGCTATATCCCCAGCCTTTTTTTTTTTTTCAGACAGTCTTGCTAAAATGCCCAGGCAGGTCTTGTTATAATCTTCCTGCCTCAGCCTCTTGAGTGCTGGATTACAGAAGTATGCCACTGTGCCCTGTCCTTGGGTGACTGAGTCTGGAGGATCTCTAAGAGTTTAAAGCCAGTGTGGACCACGTGGCAAGACCTTGTCTCAAAAAGCAAAAATAGGGCTGGGGGATTTAGTTCAGTGGTTCCGCTTCCTGCCTCACAAGCCCAAGGACCCGAGTTCGATCCCCGGTACCAAAACAAAGAAGCAAAAACAAAACTAAAAAAGAAGTGGCAGAACCTAAGTGCCAATGCACTACACTGTATTAAAGGGAGGCAGGTACAGAAAAATAAACTATAAGAAAACATGAATTATTTAAACAATTGTACAGAATATTTTTATTTTTTGAGACAGGGTCTTACTGTATATCTTGGGCTGGCCTCAGACTCACAATCATCCTGCTTTATCTGAGTGCTGGAGCTACAATAGGTACACCTCTGTAATCCATCCTCGGTGTATAGTTATTTCTTCCTGGGGTAGGGTGGGAGTCTTACATCTTAGAGCTTTACCTTCTGCTTTCAGAAAGGTCAGAGTGCCTCTCCTGTGCTTGCTGTTACTCGAGTGTCTTTATTTTTTATTTTTATTTTTTGAGACAGGGCCTTGCTGTGTGGTTCAGGCTGGCCTTCCAAGCTGGCTTCGAACTCCCAACAATCCTCCTGCCAAGTGTTGGGATTACAAGAGTTCACCACATCTTTGGCTTCAATTGTCTTTAGCTCAAAATAATTTTTATATTCAACATGGCATCTTTTGGGAAAGTGAATGTGTAGTTAGTCCTTAGCTACCAAGTTGCTCAGAGTATGGGGCCTATTTAACCAGTGTCTTTTCGAGTTTCACTAAACATTGTCTTTTATAACTCACTTTTTAATTGCAGTTGTATGTGCGTGGTGCCAGGAATTAAATCCAGGGCCTTGTGCATGCTAAGCAAGGGCCCTCCCAATAACCTTCATTCCCAGCCCTTAATTACATTTTTAACATTCACTATCATTTTTAGTTTTCAAGTTCTTTTCCTTGCTCTCGGTTCCTTTGTGGTATTCTGTTTGTTGGTGAACATACTTTCACATCACCGAAAGTATTCCACTTAGTTTTACTGCTTGCACTGTTGCAAGTTTCCTCTCTGCTGTTTGTCCTGCCATCTCTAATTGGAGGTGTCTTTGGTCACCTCTCCCGGAAAGCATCAGTCTGAAATCTTTTTGCAGCACAGAGGTGGGTGGGTTAGGACCAGATCAAGGCCATCTCTCTGTCACAGGGTGGCGTGGTGGCTTAGTTCCTAGTATTGCACTGAGAACTTGGAGCCTCATCATGTTGAAAGGAATGTGGGGAGGGATATTGGGAAGTACCCAGAAATGAAGGGACATAGAGGATATGGCTGGAGAGAGTACAGCAGCAGTGGCTCCCCTAGTGTACAGTGACGGCCACTAGATGTCACAGGGACCTCGCGGACACTGCCTGCACTCGGCCTCGGGGGCCCCTACCAGCAGGGAATCCCTGAAGAGCCCACTCCAGTGGCTTCCCAGGGCAGCCTGCTGTCATTAAGTCACCCCTGCTTCTGCACATACCAAACTGATACAAGTGTGAGGCCTTGCCTCGAAGGAGTCTGGGGGGGTGTTTCTCTGGCTCTCAAGGCAGAGGTGTCAGATTTCGAGGTCAAGTATAGAGAGATGTCACAAAATGCAGGCAGGTGAATACCATGACAAATATCTGCATTGGTAGATCGGTCCCCGGAGAAGATACCTCCCTCCAGCTTCCCACTAGGGGGCTGCTGGGATGGGGGCCCTCTGGCTTTAGGGAAGCTGCAGGATGGATGTAGGAGCAGCCCAGGGCGCTTGTTTAGAATTCAGGGTTTTCCATTTTCAATCCAGTGCCGTCCCCCTTCTCTGCTCTGGCCAGCACACCTGAGGCGCCAGAGCAGAAAGCTCTATCTCCTGAGGAAGTGCGGGCTTGAGAGTGGACTTGGGCCTGCTGCAGCTTCTGCAGACTCAAATGTCCTTCATGTACACAGCCACTGCCACCCTCTGGCTCACTCTACCCTTGGCTTCCAGCTTCTGTGCACTGTACATTTTCGGGGCAAAGAGCTGTCTCCTCACGAGTGTGCCCTTCAGCTCTTTGTGTCCTGTCTCCTGCACACTGTGAAGCCAGCACCACTCCACCACCTGACTTCTGTCTAGTGGCTTAGTTGTGCTCTAGGGAGCACCTTGATATCTGCCTTTGCTGCTGTAACAGTTGAAGTTTGAATTTATGCATAAAGTATCTCTATATATATTAAAAATTTTTCCTTTTTGAGATGGCAGTCTTGCTATGTTGCCTAAGCTGGTCTTGAACTCCTGGGCTCTAGCGATCCTCCTGCCACCACCTCCAGAGTAGCTGGGACTCCAGGTGAGACACTGTGCCCAGCTTGCATATACCCTTAAATATCTCTGAATGTTTCCTTTCTGTTGAAAACACTGCAGCTCCAGTAGGGAGAAGAATGCGGTCAGCAGAGGGGAATGGAGGGGCTGGTCAAAAGGTGTATAGGAGAAGTAAGCACAGGGTTTGGTTGCATAGTGTGCCAACTAGTTAATTATACTGTATTGTATTTGAAGAGCCTGAAAGAGAAGTTCTAAATAATAATGACAGTAAGAATAGTAATAGTAATAATAATAATAATAATACTTGCAGTGCTAGAGATCCAACCCAGGGCCTCATGCATGCTAGGCAAGCACTCTACCACCAAGCCTCATCTCCAAGACAGGATTTTGTTCTGTTTTGTTTTTGCTTTATTTTGGTACTGGGTATAGAAGTTGGGACATTTTGCTTGTGAGGCATGCAACGGAACCACTGAGCTAAATGCCCAGCCCCAAGACAGAATTTTAAATGTTCTCACCACAAAGAAATAATCAATATTAGGTGATGGACATGTTAATTACTCTGATTTCAACCTTCCTCAATGTATACCTGTATCTAACATCATATAACATAAATATATACAATATTATTTGTCAATTAAAGATAAAACACCACTCGTTCAGTAGTGCGTGCTTGTAATTTCAGCTGCTGTACTTGGGAGGTTGAGGCAAGAGATTTGAAAGTTCAAAGCTAGCCTGGGAAATTTAACAAGACCCTATCTCCAAATGAAAATAAAAAAAGATCTTCATCCTTGGAGGTACCAGGACCTGACTGACTGCTTAGTTACCAGTTCTGCCCTGTAACTGCTGCCTACCACCAAATACCATTTTTTTTGTTTTGTTTTTATTTTGAGACAGGCTCTTGCTATGTAGCCCAGGCTGGCCTCAAACTGTCAGGGCAATGGTTAAAGAGATGAGAGTTATCTGGAATGCGTGTGGTCTCTGAAGTGACCTTGGCTGTAGGGAGGCTGGCTACCTCCTGACAAAGGAGTATACAGAGATAACACCCAAAGAAACGACCCCCTCCAAAGTCCAGGGCAGCCTGAGAATGGTCCTT